GGCTGCATTCCTCAGTTATCGCCGTCCTCACAATATTCTGAAATGTTTTCACTCCCCTTTCCCTGTGTGTTTTGGGAACCAGTCTCCTGTTATTCGGTTTCAATCATTTTGCACCTCTGCTTGCCTAATTACAAGACACAAATACTCTGTTGCTGTGATATAAACACATTTGATTAACTCCCTAAGCTCTAGTCTACTAATTAGTCATACATTATTAGTTTAACTGAGGGTGTGACATTTTAGTCATATCTTACTCATACATTTCTTTATCAGAAACTGGTATACTTTTTTATTTATCACAATTTTCTTTAACAAATTATATTATTTAATGCAAGGCCGACAGACAAGTTCCTTACTTTTTCCCCCTTCCACTTTCCTCTTCCATTTTTGCGGTAATGCTGCAATTATTTGGTTGTAATTTTGGGTAGGTTTTTGTTAGCTGCATGTGCGACATAACTCCACCAGTCCAAGTTATTGTTACTCATTGTGTATTTATTCCTTGTGTTATTATTTTTCTATAGTTGTAAAAAATAAAAAAAGTCTCTCTGCATTATTGGGAAGGGCCCGTAAGTAAGCATTTCACTGTTAGTCTACACCTGTTGTTTACGAAGCTTGTGACAAATAACATTTGATTTGAGATTTCCTGCTTGCCAATCATACTTGTTTGTGTCAGTGTGTGTGTGTATGTGTGTGTGTGTGTGTGTGTGTGTGTGTGTGAGAGAGGTACAACAAAAACACTCACCTTCTCCTATGCATCACACTCACCGCAAGGGTCACACACCATCACACACCTGGGGTGAAAGGTCTGCGCTAATAGAATGGCATCAAACACAAGGAAATCATGTGTTTGATGTATTTGATACCATTCCACAGATTCCTCTCCAGCCATTACCACGAGCCCATCCTCCCCAATTAAGGTGCCACCAACCTCGTGCGGAGGGTATATGATAAAGGAATTTGTTAATGTGACTAAAAGTATTACACCCTGAAAATTATAGGAATGTGATAGAATCATAAAACTATAGTTTATTTAGTTAGAAGAAAAACGAGGGCTTTGGCTTATTTTCATATCTATGCTAGCAGGAAACAGGATGTAAAACTAGACACTGAAGAACATGTCCCCATCTTAGGTGTCTGTGTAGGATGCATGTTTGCTCAGCAACAGACTATTTGGGTCTTAAAAAAAGAAGTGTGCTTCTTCAAGCTTATAGAGAAATGTGATAGTTGCCTAAATATGGGCTAGGAGCCTTTTCATTGGCCCATTTAGGGGCATAGTAAAGGTATAAAAACATTGTGCATTGTATGATTTTCAGAGCGCTCTCAATGAATAAAGGCTGACCATTGCAGAATTGTGTCTTTGCTTATTTTATTTAAACTAAGAGATTTACAACCTCTTGGGAAATATTCAAAGATTTAAGAAGTAGTTGACTTCAACCATTGAGATAACAAAATTCTTGTGACAGTATAGCACATTGTTTGTAACTTATGGGAGCTGTGCCCATCGGGGCAATGCACAGTACTGAGATCATCCATACCAGAGTGGCTAATGGGCTCTGTTGCTTTGCATTTGCCCAGGCCTGGCAAGGCTGGCATACATCAACACGAAACACACACACCTGCTTCTCCTCAGGGAGAAAACATATGCACACACACAGTAAAACAGATGGACACACACAGGAAGTTAACACACAGACAAACACATTTGAATCCCCATCTGTATCTTCTCATTAAGAGTCTCCTGGTCTACAAGTCTTCCAAGCAGCAAAAACATCAGAGTTGAAAACATGAAACACTACATCTTCACATGTACAAACTAAGGGATACAAAAGCAGCTTTGGCATCTCCAGTGAGACCCTGGTCACTGATTGGACAGTGATGAAAGATGTGTCCTCATTGGCCTGAACTGACCCCAGATCAGTAACCCGGAGAAAACCACACACACACACTACCCTCCACTCCCTATGCTGTGTGGCTCTTATACGATGATTTAGATCAGTGACACCCTTATGATTTGGGAGGTATAATGAAAGACAATCTCTGCCTCTGCTCCTTCTCACTCGCTCTCTCCTTCTCCTTTATGTCTCTCATCCTTCTCTCTCTCTCCTTCATCCCTTCTCCCTATCTTCTGCATGAAACATTTTGTTTAGAAGTTCAAATGATCTTTAGTGCATCAAGGTTATTGTTCAAATGATCTTTAAAGTGCATCAAGTTTATTGCACTGCAGATTTTTCTTGTGTGTTCTTAAATGTCTCTCAGTAACGACAACACCGATTCTGGCTCAGGTTATACACTACCGGTCAAAAGCTTTAGAACACCTACTCATTCAATGATTTATCTTTATTTTTACTATTTTCTACATTGTAGAATAATAGTGAAGACATCAAACTATGAAATAACACATGTGGAATCATGTAGTAACCAAAAAAGTATATTTGAGATTCTTCAAATAGCCACCCTTTGCCTTGATGACAGTTTTGCACACTCTTGGCATTCTCTCAACCAGCTTCACCTGGAATGCTTTTCTAACCATCTTGAAGGAGTTCGCACATATGATGAGCACTTTGTTGGCTGCTTTTCCTTCACTCTGCGGTCTGACTCATCCCAAACCCTCTCAATTGGGTTGAGGTCGGGGGATTGTGGAGGCCAGGTCATCTGATGGAGCACTCCATCACTCTCCTTCTTGGTAAAATAGCCCTTACACAGCCTGGAGGTGTGTTGGGTCATTGTCCTGTTGAAAAACAAATGATAGTCCCACTAAGCCCAAACCAGATGGGATGGCGTATCGCTGCAGAATGCTGTGGTAGCCATGCTGGTTAAGTGTGTCACAGACAGTGTCACCAGCAAAGCACCCCCACACCATAACACCTCCTCCTTCATGCTTCACGGTGGGAAATACACATGTGGAGATCATCCGTTCACCCACACCACGTCTCACAAAGACACAGCGGTTGGAACCAAAAATCTCCAATTTGGACTCCAGACCAAAGGACAAATTTCCACAAGTCTAATGTCCATTGCTCGTGTTTCTTGGCCCAATCAAGTCTATTCTTCTTATTGGTGTCCTTTAGTAGTGGTTTCTTTGCAGAAATTCGACCATGAAGGACTGATTCACACAGTCTCCTCTGAACAGTTGATGTTGAGATGTGTCTGTTACTTGAACTCTGTGAAGCATTTATTTGGGCTGCAATTTCTGAGGCTGGTAACTCCAATGAACTTATCCTCTGCAGCAGAGGTAACTCTGGGTCTTCCATTCCTGTGGCGGTCTTCATGACAGACAGTTTCATCATAGCGCTTGATGGTTTTAGCAACTGCACTTGAAGAAACTTCCAAAGTTCTTGAAATTTTCCGAATTGACTGTAGTTTCTGTAGTTAATGATGGACTGTAGTTTATCTTTGCTTATTTGAGCTGTTCTTGCCATAATATGGACTTGGTCTTTTACCAAATAGGGCTATATTCTGTATACACCCCCCCCCCCCCCCCCCCCCCCCCCACACACACACACACACACACACACCTTGTCACAACACAACTGATTGGGTGAAATCATTCACTAAACCCTAAACCTCAACTACATCTCGTAATGAATAATGTGGAAATTGAGCAAGTTGAGGTGACTAAACTGCTTGGAGTAACACTGGATTGTAGACTGTCATGGTCAAAGCATATTGATACAACAGTAGCTAAGATGGGGAGAAGTATGTCCATAGTTAAGCGCTGCTCTGCCTTCTTAACAACACTATCAACAAGGCAGGTCCTACAGGCCCTAGTTTTGGACTACTGTTCAGTTGTGTGGTCAGGTGCCACAAAGAGGGACTTGGGAAAATTCCAGTTGGCTCAGAACAGGGCAGCACGGCTGGCCCTTAAAAGTACATGGAGAGCATTGATGACATGAGGAGAGATTGACTTCATCACTGCTTGTTTTTGTGAGAGGTGTCGACGAGCTGAATGTACAGAGCTGTCTGTTTGGAATACTGGCACACAGCTCGGACACCCATGCATACCCCACAAGACATGCCACCAGAGGTCTCTTCACAGTCCCCAAGTCCAGTACTACATAGAGCCATGACTACATGGAACTCTATTCCACATCAGGTAAATGATGCAAGCAGTAGAATCAGATTTTAAAAAAACAGGTAAAAATACAGCTTGTGGAACAGCGGGGACTGTGAAGAGACACATACACAGGTACATACACATATACATATAGACACTCACTCTACACACACGTACACATGGATGTTGTATTGTAAATATGTGATAGTGGAGTAGTGGCCTGAGGGAACACACTAAATGTATTGGGTAAAGTGTTATGAAATATAATGTCATGTAATATTTTAAATTGTATGTAACTGCCTTAATGTTGCAGGACCCCAGGAAGAGTAGCTGCTGCCTTTTCAGCAGCTAATGGGGATCCTTAATAAATAAAAATACAGAGATTGGCTCAAACGCACTAAGAAGGAAAGAAATTCCTAAATTAACTTTTAAGAAGGAACACCTGTTAATTGAAATGCATTCCAGGTGACTACCTCATGAAGCTGGTTGAGAGAATGCCAAGAGTGTGCAAAGCTGTCATCAAGGCAAGGGTGGCTATTTTGAAGAATCTCAAATCTCAAATATATTTAGATTTGTTGAACACTTTTTTGATTACTACATGATTCCATGTGTTATTTCATAGTTTTGAGGTCTTCACTGTTATTCTACAATGTAGAAAATAGTAAAAATAAAGAAAACCCTTGAATGGTAGTGTATGTCACGCTCCCCTCTTCACCCCTCCTCTGGGCGAATGAAATTCCAGCTGTCCCCCCTCCCCAAAACTCCCTCTCTTTCTCTTTCTCTTCACACCCACTCTCTCCTTCCCTCCCCTCTCTCTCCCTCGCCTCTCCTTCTCTCTCTCTCTCCTTCCCTCCCCTCTCTCTCCCTCGCCTCTCCTTCTCTCTCTCTCTCCTTCCCTCCCCTCTCTCTCCCTCGCCTCTCCTTCTCTCTCTCTCTCCTTCCCTCCCCTCTCTCTCCCTCGCCTCTCCTTCTCTCTCTCAGTTCATAACTTCACTGCTTGCAGCGCTGCTTCACTGTATTCTTCATCATGTCCTGGACTCATCTGGTCTTTCTCTCTCTGCTCGCCACCCTCCTCATCCTCACACGTAAGTACCCCGATAGGGGGTTGACATGCTGGGGATGGGGTCGGGGGTCAAGGAAAGGTGTGGGAGAGGAAATGGTGGGTGACATTTTTTACTTTTCTATGGTGAAGGTTTGATGTTTATGGTGAGACCTTTTTTGAAAGGTGCATGTTCAGAAGTTCTAAAAAGAGGCCTTCCTGATCAACTCAAGTGTAAAATTGACAAAAACCTCCCTCTCTCTTCTCCAGTCTTCACCGGGGTGGAGAGTGCATCGGTGAGAGACGAAAAAGATGGAAGAGACGGAAAAGCTGCAGAGCCCAAAGGTGAGTGTCGTATGTTCCATACCCCCTCCCAATCTGAGTGACCCCAATGACCCTCTTTGACCCTTACCTGCTACCCTCTGCCCCCAGGGTCAGCGCGGCGAGTCTTCATGCCCGAAGCGGACGCAACAAACTTCTTCAAAAAGCGCAGTCGGCGCTCGGCCAAACATGAGGCGGAGGTCCTCGGTGAGGCTGTTTACCATTAATATGGGGTGTTACCATGGAGACGGAGCCAGGGCAGGACAGGGCAGGGCAGGACAGGGGGCATGGGGGTTGATGATGGTAGTGTTTGTATGTGGTTGAAGTTGCTGGTGCCATTATGGCCAGTTTGTTTTGGGAGGTTTCCAGCACTCTGTAGAGGCTGGTGGTGTGTGTGGGTGTGTGTACTCAAAGTCTATTAATTTGATGGTCTGTGGATTAAAATGTTGGGTGGTGTGGTTTGAGGTCATGGCTGTGAACTCTGAGGGCAGACTGAAGACTCCAAATCTCCCACAGGTGTATCGCTAGCAGCTGCTCCCAAAGCTTATAAGCATTTGAAGCCATCTGCTTCACACAAATATACACACACACACACACACACACACACACACACACACACACACACACACACACACACACACACACACACACACACACTGGCTGGAGGCAGCAAAAGGAGTCACAGGGTAGTATGGAGCAGCCTCTCTCCCTATCTCCCTCTCTCCCTCTCTCCCTCTCTCTCTCTCGCTCTCTCTTGCTCTCTCTCCCTCTCTCCCTCTCTCCCTCTCCCTCTCTCCCTCTCTCTGTCCCTCTCAGCCAGTCCCAGAGACAGACAGGCTGTCGTCTGCTCCAGCTCTCCCCCTGTCAGTGCACCTCTCTGGGCCACCGCTCAGAGAAAACAAGCCCACACTCCTGGAAAGCGTCAGTTACAAAAGACCGTTTATATCGCCTGCCAGCCAGTCACCGAGGCGCTGGGTGTGCACGAGAGAGAAGGGGGGAGAAGTGTGTGCGTGCATGAGGGTATGTGTGAATGTGTGTATGTGTGTGTGTGCGCACATGAGGGTGTGTGTGTGTGTGTGTGTGTATACGACTTTGATGTGACCGTGTTAGGGGAGTGATGCGCAGGTAGCAGGAAAGGCACTGCAGGAGCTGAGACAGGAATGTGTGGACCAATTAACCATTATAGTGCAGAGAGAGAGAGAGAGAATAAGATGAAATGAGAGAGAGAAAAGAAAGCAAAGAAACCTGAGGAGGATAATGGAAAGGTCTGTTGACTTGGCCATTGGGTTAGAGTAAGACACGTGAGCAGGTCTGCAGCCACGATGACAGAGAGAGAGAGAGAGAGAGAGAGAGAGAGAGGGAGAGAGAGAGAGAGAGAGAGAGAGAGAGAGAGAGGAGAGGGAGAGATTTGTGACCTGTTGCCACACGAAAAGGGCAACCAGTGAAGAACAAACACCATTGTAAATACAATCCATATTTATGTTGATTTATTTTCCATTTTGTACTTTAACTATTTGCACATCATTAAAACACTGTACATAGCCATAATATGACATTTGAAATGTGTCTATCCCTTTGAAACTTGTGAGTGTAATGTTTACAGTTTTGATTGTGTATTTCACTTTTGCTTTGGCAAGGTGAACATGTTTCCCATGCCAATAAAACCCTTTGAATTGAGTTGAATCAGACAGAGAGAGAGATAGCAAACACAGCCAGTAAGCCTAGTACCTGAGAAAGTTTCCATTCTGCAAAGCCTCATTCCAACAGACCGTTTCGTAAGAAAACAACCTACTATTCAGAGTGTTTGTTCTTGTTGTGTGTGTACTCAAGACATTGTGATGTAACCTTAACACTTCTGTGAGTACCCCAATGAGGGTTAGTGTCCAATGTACACAGCACCTGTCTGTGTGTCTGTGTGTCTGTCTGTGTGTGTGTGTGTGTGTGTGTGTGTGTGTGTGTGTGTGTGTGTGTGTGTGTGTGTGTGTGTGTGTGTGTGTGTGTGTGTGTGTGTATGTTTGTGTGTGTGCGTGTGTATAAAGCAACAGGTACAGTATCTCTCCCAAAAACTGTATGATAGAGTTGGACTGCCTGCAGGGGAGTGTGTGACCTGAGGAAAGTGTGAGGTGAGGACAGGTTGGAAGTTTGGCGGCAAACATGATCGAGGTTCATTACGTAACTAAGACAAGACCTGTCACTCTACCTCAGTGACCATAACACCTTATTCCATCTCTCCTTCTTTCCCTCTCTTTTCCCCCTCCTCCCTCCCTCTCTCCCCCCGTAGCTGAGCAGAGGGTGAGGCTGTCGGCTGATGAGAGGAGGAGGGAGTACTATGACGAACAGAGGAATGAGTTTGAGAACTATGTGGAAGAGGAGCGCGATGGTAAGACCGACTAACTCTGTTCCAAATATGAGGTTTAAACCATAACTGACCATTTGGTTCAACTCAGGCCCTTATACCGCTTAGTGGTAAATGCCACAGCTTGATTTGTCTGCAGTAATCACAGTCTAATCACAGTTATCACACAGTGTGCTGCACTGAACACTTTGACCACACGACTGTATAGGGATTTGTTGGGTTTGTGGTTGTTCTTGTGCCTATTATGTATCTGGAAAGGGTTTTCTCCCACATAAGTAAACCGAAGTGTTTCACATGAAGGACAGAAATACACTTTCTTAGTCCTCCGCGTTCTACACTCTGAAGGTTGCCACAAACAGAAAACCTTTCCTTTCCCCTCTCTCTGCTCCCTTCCTCTGCTCTCCTCTCTCCATCCACAGAGCAGGATGAGAGGACACGGGAGAAGACAGAGCAGTGGCGTGAGTTCAACTATGATGGACTCTACCCCCGTTATCCACGCGGTTGGTGAGCATGCTCCATAGGCCAAGGGGTTCAGAACATAGTGCACCAGCCTGTGATTGGTAGGACCCTGTGTCACTTAAGACACCTAGCCTATCAGACGGACATTACAAGACCATGGGAAATGGCCAAACCATCACTCACCTAGGAGTAAAAAGGTTTACGTACAAAACTATTACACTCAATCATTTAAAATGGTAATATTATGTAGATAAAATGCAGTTTTGTAGCGTTTATATTAAAGACTTTGGGTGGGGCAGGTCAAGTTCGAAAAAGGAGGCTGTTGTGATTGTGTGTGTATTTCTATGCATGCTTATTTCAGTCTCTATCTTTGTACATGTATCTGGGTGGTAAACTGTTGGGTGTGGTCTGTGTATCTTCCACATCTGTCTGTGTATCAAACTGTATTGTCCTTTCTGTATTGTAACCAAACTGTAATCACATATGAAACCTGTACTGTAATTCAGAACCACAGAGACCAATAAAGACAATACTAAAATCTAAAATGTACCTTTTTGGCGTATAGAATTTCTGTTATTATTACAGTAAGTGTCGATAAATCAGAGGTGATTTCCTAAGCAAATGTGTGTGTGAGAGAGAGTGAGAGAAAGAGAGAGTTGAAGGAGGGTGGAGAAAGAGTGAGAGGGTGAAAAGAGAGAGGGGAAGCTGGAGAAAGAAGGGATGATTAAATGAATGTGTGTGAGTGAGTCCTGGGGAACTCATCAGACTGAGATAAATGTTGGGATTCCATGCGAGACTACCAACATTCCACAGCTGCAACTTTAGACAGCACTGGGCAGAGGAGAGACAGAGAGAGGGAGAGAGAAAGGAGAAAACTGGAGAGGAAAGGAGAGAAGTCTAACTAAAAGGACACTGACAGACAGGTCTCTACCTCAGGAGTTTAACTAGTGCCCGTTTGTTCCTAAGCCTTTATTCCATCCATAACCTGGTCACATGGTGTGGTTGACAGAGGATGTGTTCTATACCACCTGCTTAGATCAATACAACCGACTGTTAATCATTTTGATGAGGCAGACTATCACTTCAAGCTCGATTAAATCACCACATTTGGGAGAAGCAAAACAGTGAGCAGACATTCCTTTTTTGGGGGGGGACGTACTTGATCCTCTCTTTATCCAGCTCATGTTACTATTTTGGATGTGTCTAAAAACTCCCTCAAACTGTAAGGACACAATATAGCACAGGACACCATTTCTTCCAGGGAGCCCAAGTCAGAAAAAGGAGCAGATTGTTGGTAAATCACTCAGCACGATTTAATCAGCACATTCCCATGAAACCCAGCAGGAGAGAACAACAACTCACTCAGAAATACAATTGAATCCATTCAAAACCCAGCAATTTAAAATCCATAATCAACTTAAAATTACATCCACCGTAAAAAACATTAAAAGGACATTTAAAAAGCACTCTACAACATGCAAATAAATATACACAAGACACTCCAATGGCACCAGCAGCAGTCGTTTCAAATGATGAAGACAATGATGAAGGTGATTGTCAGTGACTGAGGGCTACAGCATGCTGTTGAGGAACTTGGGCTGTTCGTCACCTCGAGGCTGCAGCAGCTCCCCTGCTATCTTTGGCCCCGACTTCTCCTGTGGACAGGAACAGGAAACAGTTAGGGAACAGGAAGTAGAAGTCAAACCAAGAACCAATCAGCTGGGAGAAGGAAGTGCTTTGGGTCCATCTGAACTTCAAGCCTACTATAATGCGACACTTACCTTCAACATGCCGTCTCTCTCCCATTTGAACAGGCCACAGTTACTGCAATAGAGAACGCAGCATTATCATACCTGATGAACGCAGTAGTACGTGACCTGCATTGTGTTTGAGAGTGTGCTTCTCAACTGTAGTGTGTGTGTCTCACCTGCAGTGTTTGTGTGGCAGGCGGTCCAGTGCGATGGCTCTCTGTCCACAGGGGCACTTGAAGAAGCGTTTGGTGGCATCGTGCCACTGCAGCTCATGCTTCTCCTCCACACAGCGATCAGCAGGCTTGAAGTATGTGTACTTACACTGGAGACAAGACATAGATAAACACAGATAAATATGTATCTGTTCTAAGCCGTAAAGACGCAATTACAGTTGAAGTCGGACGTTTACATACACTTAGGTTGGAGTCATTAAAACTTGTTTTTCAACCACTCCACAAATGTCTTGTTAATAAACTATAGTTTTGGCAAGTCGGTTAGGACATCTACTTTGTGCATGACACAAGTAATTTTTCCAACAATTGTTTACAGACAGATTATTTCACTTATAATTCACTGTATCACAATTCCAGTGGGTCAGAAGTTTACATACACTAAGTTGACTGTGCCTTTAAACAGCTTGGAAAATTCCAGAAAATGATGTCATGGCTTTAGAAGTTTCTAATAGGCTAATTGACATAATTTGAGTCAATTGGAGGTGTACCTGTGGATGTATTTCAAGGCCTACCTTCAAACTCAGTGCCTCTTTGCTTGACATCATGGGAAAATCAAAAGAAATCAGCCAAGACCTCAGAAAAAAAGGGGAGACCTCCACAAGTCTGGTTCATCCTTGGGAGCAATTTCCAAACGCCTGAAGGTACCATGTTCATCTGTACAAACAATAGTACGCAAGTATAAACACCATGGGACCACACAGCTGTCATACAGCTCAGGAAAGAGACGCGTTCTGTCTCCTAGAGATGAACGTACTTTGGTGCGAAAAGTGCAAATCAATCCCAGAACAACAGCAAAGGACCTTGTGAAGATGCTGGAGGAAACAGGTACAAAAGTATCTATATCCACAGTAAAACAAGTCCTATATCGACATAACCTGAAAGGCCGCTCAGCAAGGAAGAAGCCACTGCTCCAAAACCGCCATAAAAAAGCCAGACTACGGTTTGCAACTGCACATGGGGACAAAGATCGTACTTTTTGGAGAAATGTCCTCTGGTCTGATGAAACAAAAATGGAACTGTTTGGCCATAATGACCATCGTTATGTTTGGAGGAAAAAGGGGAAGCTTGCAAGCCGAAGAACACCATTCCAACCGTGAAGCACGGGGGTGGCAGCATCATGCTGTGGGGTTTCTTTGCTGCAGGAGGGACTGGTGCACTTCACAAAATAGAAGGCATCATGAGGAAGGAAGATTATGTGGATATATTGAAGCAACATCTCAAGACATCATTCAGGAAGTTAAAGCTTGGTCGCAAATGGGTCTTCCAAATGGACAATGACCCCAAGCATACTTCCAAAGTTGTGGCAAAATGGCTTAAGGACAACAAAGTCAAGGTATTGGAGTGGCCATCACAAAGCCCTGACCTCAAGCCTATAGAAAATGTGTGGGCAGAACTCAAAAAGCGTGTGCGAGCAAGGAGGCCTACAAACCTGACTCAGTTACACAAGCTCTGTCAGGAGGAATGGGCCAAAATTCACCCAACTTATTGTGGGAAGCTTGTGGAAGGCTACCCGACACGTTTGACCCAAGTTAAACAATTTAAAGGCAATGCTACCAAATACTAATTGAGTGTATGTCAACTTCTGACCCACTGGGAATGTGATGAAAGAAATAAAAGCTGAAATAAATCATTCTCTCTACTATTATTCGGACATTTCAGATTCTTAAAATAAAGTGGTAATCCTAACTGACCTAAAACAGGCAATTTTTACTAGGATTAAATGTCAGGGATTGTGAAAAACTGAGTTTAAATGTATTTGGCTAAGGTGTATGTAAACTTCCGACTTCAACTGTATATTGGTCTGATAGGACGATTAAATAATGTTGTTAGTAGGTGAATTAGAATTCTGAGCAGTCTGGCCCGTCTGCCCGATCTGCTATCATGCTAGTTGTACGCACGCCATTGGGACCGTTAATCGTACCAGTCTAAATTGCTAGTTGGCCCATGGGGGAAATTATGAGGTGTTGGGAGTTGTGGCTTTTATCCGACTACCATAAAGGAAAGCTGATGGTTCAAATCCCAGATAAAGTAGATTTTGACTCAACAGAATAAAACCGTTGGTTTGGTTTGGTGGTTACCTGGTGATTTAAACTGCAGGATAGCTAATGACAGTAGTGAATAAGACCTCTGATTGGACACTGACCTTTTTACAGCTGACGGCTCGACACTTCTGCTCTCTGATGTTCCTCATCTTCTCCTCCATCGCCTCCTTCTTCACCAGGGGCTCAAAGTAGCGCTCCTGCTGCTGGTACTCTGCCTAAAGAGAGAGATAGGAACTATTTACCCTGGACTAGGGAAAGGGGGAATCATTACATTGTTACACCAGGCGGTCAAAGTAGCTCTCCTGCAGCTGGTACTCTGCCTAACCTAAGGAGAGAGGAACTATTATAACACTAGCCTAGAGATAAGGGGGATTTATTACACTGTTACTCAGAAAAGGGAGCAGTTACACTAGGCTGCTATGTTTACGGAATTGCTGACTCACCGCCTGTAGCTCGGCCCCGTGGCGGGACTTGGTGTTGAGGATCTTCTTGAACTCCTCTGATTGGACGTAGTCCATTTGTTCCCGCCTCTTCTTCTGGGCTGGCTCCTCCTCCGTGGCCCCAGACTGTTCACCTGTACAGAGGCAGATCACAGAGGATGGGTAAGAACAGGGACTCTCTTTGTGTGTGTGTGTGTGTGTGTGTGTGTGTGTGTGTATGTGTGTGTGTGTGCTAAGGTGTGTACCGTCGGGCGAGGACAGGTTCTTCTGCACCCTGGTGGTGATGTCAGTGCTGTTTCTCCTCTTCCTTTTCACAGCGTTGGGGTCTTCTTTGGCCAGCCCAGCCCCCTTCACTCTCAGCTTCTTCAGAGCAGCCAACTAGCGAGAAGGAGACATCACATTCTACAGTCAAATCAACAGCGCAACAGTGTACGCTAAGCATGAAAGCATGTGATAGGACGAGCACCACTTACCTTGGCAGCTGATAGGCTGTGTGCCGCCAGGGGTGGAGGAGGGGTGTGGTCAAAGAACAAGATATCATCTCCCTCGTTGAAACCCCTCCCCAGTGTTGGAGTGTGGGGGGCGGCGGGGCTCTGGGTGGCGTTGGGGACCTCTGAGGCAGATTTGGGGGACAGGAGGGCCCCCCTAGATGGGGGAGAGGCCCCGGGGACCCCCGCCCTGCCTGAGTTCTGGAGGACCCTCTGCTGGATCTCTTCTGCCCGGCGTCTGCGGTTCTCTAAGAGCTGCTTCTGCTGCTGTTTCTGCTGCTTCAGGAGGTCAGAGGCAGAGATGGACTGGACCCCTGCACCGGCCGAGCCCTTGGAACCTGGGGGAGTGAGGGAGGAAGGAAGAGAAGGTGGAAGAAGAGAGAAAAAGGGGGGTAAAGAGAGAAAAATATGATATACAGTAATTCTAATGCACTGACAAGCAGGGAGAATACACACCAAGTTTGTCCTTTTAAAAGATCTCCTGTCTTTCTCTAGTCTCCAGATCGCCCATCTGATGTGTTCATGGGTTTGGTCTGGTCTGCTTGAGTGAGCCAGTTACCTGGGGGTTTGGTGAGGTGTCTCTTTAGTTGGAGGGCTCCCGGGGTAGGCATGGATAACAGGTCCTTGAAGTCGTCTGAGCAGCCAGACACCTCGTTAGACTTCATGGCTAAAAAACAATCAAACACATTAAGAAAGAGCACCAGTCTTAAACCTCTCTCGCCCCCGCTCAGTCCCTCCGTTACAGTCCCTCCATCTCCCCCAGTCTTACCCAGTCTCTTGGCCTGGTTGGCCAGCTGGTTTGATCCCTTCACAAACAGGTTCCCTAGAGTGGTCTGGGTGGGCTTCTTAGGGCCAGACGCAGACCTAGACAGGAATGGAGATGTACATACGTGAACACAATACAACAACACACATACTGACTCACAGTGCAGACAAAGACTTAGAGCAGTGTTTTCCACAACTACATAGAGTAGCCAGCCAAATAGAAAAAGTAACCATCCAGGGTTCTACATGTTTTGCCGAAGGAGCTCTATTTTGGTGGACTCTGGTACAGTCTAATGCCTTGATTCCACCTGAAATACACAGCCAAATGATCGAATACATTATTGAGTTTACCTCCCAGATTAGAAAAATGTGTTGTGGTATTGCATTCTGTTCATGTATTATGATCAACATGGGCAAATTAATACATGTTCAATACATTTAGATGATTCCATACTATGGTCAATACATTTTAAAATATTGTTGAATTCCGTTTTAATGCCTCAATTCCGTGAGGGCCCTAGTTATCATATGTGGACCAGAATGAGGCTCTCCACTACCTTACGTTCTTGCAGTGATGATTCACCATCTTCATCAAATGTTTTCATAAATGATCTGCAGATAATCGCCAAAAAGCCTAGGCATACCAGTAGTCTATGCAAATAAGGGAGCCAAATGAACAACTCTCTCACCGATGCCATTGGGCAGGCTACACTGACTGACGAGATGAGACTCACTCACTTTAGCCTCACTGTCTGGCAAGCCCCGACATCCTAGCAAAGGAAACCCTTTGGTTTACTTGTCCGATGCGATACCATGGACATATAACCACATTGCATGATATAGGAGATCTACTTTATTCAATCAGTTCGACACCTTTTATAAACTAGTCAACACTTGCTGTTCAGTTGTCAATCAAAGCACAGTAAATAGCCTATGCGCCCAGACTCCGCGTGGCTGGCTATGTGAAACACGCAAAAGAAAATAAATGAATGTGCCAGAAAACAATATTTTGGCTAAGTGGATTTCAACTCATCGTTACCACTTACACATTACATGGGACGTGCAAATTCACGAGCATCATGCTCTCTCCCTCCTCTGTGTAAAGAAATGTGACTGCAACCAACCACAGTGAGCACATATTGTACCAGGAGGCGGGACAGAAAGCAGACTGCATTTCCCTGTCGTCGCTCGCTTTGTGACTGACAGGCGCCTATCCTATCAATAGATCACTAGAAGATGCATATCGTTAATTCTAGCGGGAGATGGCTCGATGGACTAGCGAATTGAAACGTTTAAATGAAAAATATCCTACATAGGCAAACACACTGAACAACCAACACACACATGCACACAATATTCACTCCCGACACACACACTGACACACACACACACTCACAGTGCGGCAGCGCAGGCTGGTGAGGACATGCCTCCGTAGTGGAAGCCGGTCTGACAGAGTCGTTCCTTCAGGCTGTTGACCTTCCCCTTGACCTTCCCCGTGGCCTTCCCTGAGAAAGAGGACTGCAGCTCGGCCCGCTGGGCACTCATCTTCTTATACTGGGCCTTGACATGATACTGGCAGTACTGGCACTCATACTGTAGAGAGAGAGATAGCACATGAGAACAGTCCTACACTCCTACTCCTACTCTCTATTTGGTGATAGTATATGACTGATACAGTAGATATGAATGACACCGATCAGCCTTTAGGTCGGTTCTGAGGGTCAGTGTGTGTTAGCAAGTGGATGGAGGAGCTGTTGAGGGGTTCAGGTTGTGTGTGTTTCTGGATGTAAAGGCAAACCCACCAGGTTGACAATCTGAGAGCAGGGGTCTCCGTTCTTCTTGGCTGCCTTACAGGTGCCATAGTCCTGAGCTTCCCCCATCAGCAACACCTTCTGATGGTGGTCCACTGACAGAGACACCTGGGAGAGAGAAAGACAGAGAAGGGGTGGGAGAAGAGAGGAGAGAGATGGTGCGAACGCCTTGGATGTCACTTACACACACACACACACACTACAGAGAAAGTAAACACACAGACACACACACTCACCCCGTCATATCCGTCTTTGGCCTTCATGGGGTTGGGGTTGAGGATGCCCATGACGGTGCCTGGCTCAGTCTTCCAGTGCTCCTTATGCACCTCCCCAAACAGAAAGAGAGACACGTACACTTCCAGGTCATGGAGGTCAGACAGCTTCCAGATGCTGAACGTCTTACCCTGTGAGGGGAGGGAGGGAGACAAGTCTTAGTGCTGCTATCTCTGACCAATATGAAATGAATACAGGTAGGCCCACTTCTTGTCAAGTCAATGACTTTTTTTAATAAACATTGGTCAACCTTACATACTTCTGGAGTACTGCGTGTCCATGTCTATAAAACCAAATGATCATTGACCTACTGTAGATGTTGAAGTTGTATGTTGGTATACAGTATAGCGGGGGTAATTCTGGTCTTACACTGCTGTTGCTCTGCGGTGTGGCTTTGTTGACCAGCACAGCGAAGGTGACCCAGTCACTCTCCTCCAGCTTCTCCCGGGCCAGGCGCTCAGGCAACTGGGAGAGCCGAATCAGCTTGCGGTCGGCCATCTTACGATCCATCTCCGTGGAGGACACGCGTGGTCGCCTGAAACCAATGAACCAATCAGAATCCAGATCTGAGCTTCAGACAAGAAACCTTGTAGCGCTTATGCGTGTTATAGGTAGATGAGTGTGTGTGCGAAAGAGGTGTGTGTGCGCGCTCTGACCTCAGCCGCAGTCCAGAGTACTTCTCGATGGCGACGTCTTTAGGGAGAGATGGAAGGGGATTGGCGTGTCGTACGGCGGACAGGGCTGCAGCCGCATTGGACTGGGAAGGTAGTGAAGAACGTACAGTACTGTTGGTCTTACTACTGCTTGCAATTGGCTGGAAGGAGCTGTGAGTCTTAATCTCCACCAATGGACCTCTGCTGTCTGTAGCAGCTGCTGTAGTGCTGGGTTGGACCTGGTGAGCTGTCCTTTGACCTTTGCGCTTGAACAGGTCAGCGTTGTTGAGTTGAGTGGTGAAGTCGGAGGACTCCTGTAGCTTGGTACTGTCTCCTCTGTCTGGGGCAGACGAGGGCTTTCCTACTGTCAAAAACAACAGATGAAGAGATGCCTCAAAACACACATACACAGGCACCACCCTCGCCTATTACACTTTACACACAGATGCTCCTTACATGACATAGTAAGTCACTACTGTGTTCCTGTATGGTGTTCCTGTATGGTCAGCTTTGACTTAAGGATTGTGTAATATGTAGCAGTCTAGGATGATTTGATTTGAATACATTCTGAAACTCAATGGAACTACCTAGGCTAAAAAAACGTATGAAAGCAATACCTGCTTGGGGCTTGGTCTTCTGTGTGGGACGAACTGGCTTGGAGGAGCTCTGCTTGGGGGGACCCTGTGAGGGAGTGTTAGGTTTAGAAGGTGTCTTTGTTCCTGGGACCCTGTTTGGGGTAGAGGTGGCTGCAGAGCTCTTCTGGGAGGCCTCTAGCTGCTGCTGCAGCCTCTGCATCTGCTCCTGCATACGCCTCAGCTCCTCTGAGAACACACAGAAACACAACCAAATAAGATTAGAACCAGAAAGCTGCCATGAATTAAAAAGCAAAGGAGACAGCGTGTGAAGCTGCCATACTTTAAGAATAGGTATCTGCATTTTAGAAAAATGTACTGTATACATACTATAGGAGTTAATGCTATGCTGTAGCGCTATCAAAATCATTTTAAGGTACTGAACTCCTTGTGGACAAACCTTGTAAATCTTCTTGGGATTTATTGAGGTTGTCAGGAGCTTTCCCTCCAGACGGCTGTGTTTTAACTTCTTCCTCCTCTTCAATGCCATCCACATCTCCAAAGAGAGCAACGGCTCCATCCTCTTCCTCCCTCTCCCCCCTCTTCTTCAAGTCCCTCCCTGTACTCTTCATCATCATCGTTGTCAAACAGGTCATCTAGGTTGTCCTCTGCTTCCTGGCTAGCCTGCTGCTCCTCTCCAGCCTCGTTCTCAGCCAGCAGCGCTGTTAGAAGGTCCAGGTCATCGTCGCCTGACACACACACACAGTGTTATAGAGTTTTGTTTTGATCAAGCCATATATTGATTATGCCCCCCCCAACACAGACACACGAGTTGTATCCCTTACCATCCATTTCCTGGAATTGTAAGATCAAGCCTTCCCCGATTAAAAAGAAGTTCTAGGAATGAAAAATACAGGTATTTTAACAGTTATATCCCGAAGACACAAGTGTTTATTGACATGTCATGAACTGTTATTTATGGACACGGCTAGCTTCACAATTCCCATTCTGTATATTCTCTCCCATGATCTGTTTCCTGCTGACATCGAAACAAGTAAGCTATCCGATTTTTCACAATGCTTATACTAGCAACAAAACGTAGAGCAAGCTAGAAAACAAATGGTGAATATGATCTCCACTCCACACAGTGCGAAAGCCGGGATAGCAACAATGTAGCAAGCAGTGACAGTGTGTATCACACGGCCAGCAACAATGTCACTTGGAGGTATAATTACGTTGTCGATTGTATACTTTTTGTGTAGTGACCAAGAAAACATTTTCTTGCAAATAACTATATTTTTCACCTTATTGATGGTTTCAGGGACTTCTCTAGCTAGCTATCTTCGTTTCTTCAAAATACTGCTGAGAAAGAACTGAAATCTGGCGCTAAACGAAGGACCCCTATCAAATATAATAGTACATACTATTTTGCCTGTCCATAAAAATAGTGGTATATGTTTACACTCACATATCGCCAATAAAATCATAGAAAAGTGTATACCTAGTTGACTAAAGAAAAGCAAAATTGAAATAATTATACACATGATTTGATACGTTTATTTCATTTTATTGACTGGTGCCCCTAAAGTAGGCATGGCTCCTTTAAATATAGGCTACAGCCGCTGTGCTAATATATAAACAAATTTGGTGAATGTTGACAAACATGGTCTGTGCTATCGCAAATCCTTGGGACGTCCCTACCATATTGAAGTCGAATGGCTTAGATAAGGGTAAGAGATTAGGGTAGGGACGTCCCAAGGATCCCAGATAGCACTGACTGAACAAACATCTGCAGGTAGTGGGTACCATAGATTATAGGGGCAAGGAGGGCTAGTGGGTACCATAGATATAAAGCAGATTCTGTTCTCTCTCTCTCATATATATATATATATATATGGTGGGTACTCTCATGTTACATTTGTTCAGGTGCTATCAGAGTTTTATATTCTAGATGTGTGTGCAACAACATAACGAAAGAAACAGCATACTGTACCAGTAACACCTTTAATACATATTTTCATAACTATTTTACAGAATCAACACAGGATTTGTAAATACATCTGTATACAGAAGTTAGTAGTTAGCTAATACAGTACACACTCCCTTGTATAGTCATACTTCCTGCAAGCTACATGAGCTGTAAATAGGTTTAATTATAAATGTACAAACCATCACGATGATGGATAAAATGTATGTGCAATATACATTTACAACAAAACTAAAACATTAAAAGTGTCTTGGGCATCCTTCCCTCTGTTGAAGCAATTTATCTTATAATTTTTCTAAACAAAATGTCTATGCTGTAATTATTATCTATTCATTACCTTCTTCATCGAAACAGAATTACAGCTTGATTAAATTGAACAACCACCCAAAAATCCAGAATAAGTATTTAATAAACCAAATAGTTTAGAATTAAGTCTTTAGCAAGAAACAAAGTGACAGACAGCTGTCATAAGGAAAAAAAAGTTAAACAAACTTAAACAAAATTATAAAAATTCCAGTTCGCCATTTATCACCTAACAGCATAATAAACGTTATACATTTTACTGGATCTTTTACGCCCCTCTAACAAAAACAAATGTGTCTCTAGTTGTGCACTGTAAGAATACATTTTATATTATAGTTATATGTTCTAAAACATAGACCAGAGCAACATAGTCCTGAACTTCAAAATAAATGCATGTTTTAGAGCATAAAGGCTGCATTTTACTCTGCCATAATCAGATGATGAAGAAGAGGAGGTAGAATCAGATTAAGGTGCATCTGCTGCGGTTGTCTTTGTTGTTGCTGATGACGATGATGAAGGCTCAGATGATGCAGTCCATGATGTGAATCTGTAGGCTGTCCAGGTCTGGTAGGATCTCATTACACTTGGGGCAGACGTGCTCCGGTATATTCCCCTGCTGCTGCCAGTCCCCGGCATCACCACCTATCAGACACAGTGGTATGATAATGGTATTGCCTTATGTACAGCATAATTGCATGATTTATCATTGTTGTAAATAAATGTGAGATGGGATGGGGAGGAGCAGAGTGTTTTCTTAATAAAATAAATATGAGATAACATTTCATTGGCAGAAAACAGTATGATGTGCCCTGGCTTGAGCCCTTCTCTCTCAGCAAGGTGAATGACTTATAGCAATGTCCAGTCCTGTACCTCTGGCTCCCTGCATGTTTTGTGGACCAGCGCCCTCATGTGGATTGCCTCCACGTGGCATGTGTCTCCTCCGCATATCGCTCAGAGATTGCCTACAGAAACCAGTTGTAGTCAAGTGGTGGATCCAAAATGGCAGTGAACGTGACCTAATATGACCAGTCTGTGATCATATGACCAATATGTAATCTGATGCGTACCTGCCCAGTGAGTCCATCTCGTCCTGTAGCTGAGTGTTCTGTTTCTTGACAAACTCCAGCTGAGCAGACAGACGTTCCTTCTCCTCGTGAATCTTCTCCCGAGCTGCTCGCTCCGCATAGAAGTCAGAGGAGTACACCTCCGCCTGGACAAAAAATAAAACAATAAAACAATGTTATATATATATATATATATACACACACACACATACATAACAAATAAAAAACACAAAAACAAACAAATAAATTGCACACATTATTAAAATGACACGTACACACATAATCACGGATGGCCACACACAAAACATTTGTCTATACGTATCAATGATTACAAGACGTGATTGTATTGTTGTACAGATATAATGCGAATGCCGTCAACAGAATGTAGTGTATTGGTTATAAAATTGAATTTCGCCCAAATATATATTTTTTATATTCAATGATCTTGTACATTTTGTAAAATAGCCAACCAATGAGCCCCTGGGGAAAAATAATCTTGAATTGCTTATCCCGTAAACCATAACTCTGAGTTAAGAGGGATAGTTCATGAAAAATGTGTTTAACTTGGAATGATTCCAGCAATACAAACACTTAATGCAACCACTAAAATTCCCCAAATGCATGGTCCAAGGACACCGCTTGTGTCTGGTTCTATAAGTGGATCATTAACCTTGTTTGTGCTGTTATGTTAAGACCATACGCCTCAGAGAAGCCATGAACAGACCCAATTTCTATATTCTGCTTCTTGCTGGTGTATAGAGATATATATACAGTGGGGAGAACAAGTATTTGATACACTGCCGATTTTGCAGGTTTTCCTACTTACAAAGCATGTAGAGGTCTGTCATTTTTATCATAGGTACACTGCAACTGTGAGAGACGGAATCTAAAACAAAAATCCAGAAAATCACATTGTATGATTTTTAAGTAATTAATTTGCATTTTATTGCATGACATAAGTATTTGATCACCTACCAACCAGTAAGAATTCCGGCTCTCACAGACCTGTTAGTTTTTCTTTAAGAAGCCCTCCTGTTCTCCACTCATTACCTGTATTAACTGCACCTGTTTGAACTCGTTACCTGTATAAAAGACACCTGTCCATACACTCAATCAAACAGACTCCAACCTCTCCACAATGGCCAAGACCAGAGAGCTGTGTAAGGACATCAGGGATAAAATTGTACACCTGCACAAGGCTGGGATGGGCTACAGGACAATAGGCAAGCAGCTTGGTGAGAAGGCAACAACTGTTGGCGCAATTATTAGAAAATGGAAGAAGTTCAAGATGACGGTCAATCACCCTCGGTCTGGGGCTCCATGCAAGATCTCACCTCGTGGGGCATCAATGATCATGAGGAAGGTGAGGGATCAGCCCAGAACTACACGGCAGGACCTGGTCAATGACCTGAAGAGAGCTGGGACCACAGTCTCAAAGAAAACCATTAGTAACACACTACGCCGTCATGGATTAAAATCCTGCAGTGCACGCAAGGTCCCCCTGCTCAAGCCAGCGCATGTCCAGGCCCGTCTGAAGTTTGCCAATGACCATCTGGATGATCCAGAGGAGGAATGGGAGATGGTCATGTGGTCTGATGAGACAAAAATAGAGCTTTCTGGTCTAAACTCCACTCGCCGTGTTTGGAGGAAGAAGAAGGATGAGTACAACCCCAAGAACACCATCCCAACCGTGAAGCATGGAGGTGGAAACATCATTCTTTGGGGATGCTTTTCTGCAAAGGGGACAGGACGACTGCACCGTATTGAGGGGAGGATGGATAGGGCCATGTATCGCAAGATCTTGGCCAACAACCTCCTTCCCTCAGTAAGAGCATTGAAGATGGGTCGTGGCTGGGTCTTCCAGCATGACAACAACCCGAAACACACAGCCAGGGCAACTAAGGAGTGGCTCCATAAGAAGCATCTCAAGGTCCTGGAGTGGCCTAGCCAGTCTCCAGACCTGAACCCAATAGAAAATCTTTGGAGGGAGCTGAAAGTCCGTATTGCCCAGCGACAGCCCCGAAACCTGAAGGATCTGGAGAAGGTCTGTATGGAGGAGTGGGCCAAAATCCCTGCTGCAGTGTGTGCAAACCTGGTCAAGACCTACAGGAAACGTATGATCTCTGTAATTGCAAACAAAGGTTTCTGTACCAAATATTAAGTTCTGCTTTTATGATGTATCAAATACTTATGTCATGCAATAAAATAAAATGCAAATTAATTACTTAAAAATCATACAATGTGAGTAGGAAAACCTGCAAAATCGTCAGTGTATCAAATACTTGTTCTCCCCACTGTGTGTGTGTGTGTGTGTGTGTGTTTGTATATATATATATATACACACACACACACACACACACACACACACACACACACACACACACACACACACACTTAAAAAACAAACACAAAACATAAATAAATAGCACACATTATTAAAATGACACATACAGTGAGGGAAAAAAGTATTTGATTCCCTGCTGATTCTGTACGTTTGCCCACTGACAAAGACATGATCAGTCTATAATTTTAATGGTAGGTTTATTTGAACAGTGGGAGACAGAATAACAACAACAAAAATCCAGTAAAACCCATGTCAAAAATGTTATAAATTGATTTGCATTTTAATGAGGGAAATAAGTACACTGCTCAAAAAAATAAAGGGAATACTTAAACAACACAATATAACTCCAAGTCAATCACACTTCTGTGAAATCAAACTGTCCACTTAGGAAGCAACACTGATTGACAATAAATTTCACATGCTGTTGTGCAAATGGAATAGACAACAGGTGGAAATTATAGGCAATTAGCAAGACACCCCCAATAAAGAAGTGGTTCTGCAGGTGGTGACCACGGACACTTCTCAGTTCCTATGCTTCCTGGCTGATGTTTTGGTCACTTTTGAATGCTGGCGGTGCTTTCACTCTAGTGGTAGCATGAGACGGAGTCTACAACCCACACAAGTGGCTCAGGTAGTGCAGCTCATCCAGGATGGCACATCAATGCGAGCTGTGGCAAGAAGGTTTGCTGTGTCTGTCAGCATAGTGTCCAGAGCATGGAGGCGTTACCAGGAGACAGGCCAGTACATCAGGAGACGTGGAGGAGGCCGTAGGAGGGCAACAACCCAGCAGCAGGACCGCTACCTCCGCCTTTGTGCAAGGAGGAGCAGGAGGAGCACTGCCAGAGCCCTGCAAAATGACCTCCAGCAGGCCACAAATGTGCATGTGTCTGCTCAAACGGTCAGAAACAGACTCCATGAGGGTGGTATGAGGGCCCGACGTCCACAGGTGGGGGTTGTGCTTACAGCCCAACACCGTGCAGGACGTTTGGCATTTGCCAGAGAACACCAAGATTGGCAAATTCGCCACTGGCGCCCTGTGCTCTTCACAGATGAAAGCAGGTTCACACTGAGCACGTGACAGACGTGACAGAGTCTGGAGACGCCGTTGAGAACGTTCTGCTGCCTGCAACATCCTCCAGCATGACCGGTTTGGCGGTGGGTCAGTCATGGTGTGGGTTGGCATTTCTTTGGGGGGGCCGCACAGCCCTCCATGTGCTCGCCAGAGGTAGCCTGACTGCCATTAGGTACCGAGATGAGATCCTCAGACCCCTTGTGAGACCATATTCTGGTGCGGTTGGCCCTGGGTTCCTCCTAATGCAAGACAATGCTAGACCTCATGTGGCTGGAGTGTGTCAGCAGTTCCTGCAAGAGGAAGGCATTGATGCTATGGACCGCCCGTTCCCCAGACCTGAATCCAATTGAGCACATCTGGGACATCATGTCTCGCTCCATCCACCAACGCCACGTTGCACCACAGACTGTCCAGGAGTCGGCGGATGCTTTAGTCCAGGTCTGGGAGGAGATCCCTCAGGAGACCATCCGCCACCTCATCAGGAGCATGCCCAGGCGTTGTAGGGAGGTCATACAGGCACGTGGAGGCCACACACACTACTGAGCCTCATTTTGACTTGTTTTAAGAACATTACATCAAAGTTGGATCAGCCTGTAGTGTGGTTTTCCACTTTAATTTTGAGGGTGACTCCAAATCCAGACCTCCATGGGTTGATAAATTTGATTTCCATTGATAATTTGTGTGATTTTGTTGTCAGCACATTCAACGAAAAAAGAAAAAAGTACTTAATAAGATTATTTCATTCATTCAGATCTAGGATGTGTTGTTTAAGTGTTCCCTTTATTTTTTTGAGCAGTGTATTTGACCCCTCTGCAAAACATGACTTAGTACTTGGTGGCAAAACCCTTGTTGGCAATCACAGAGGTAAGACGTTTCTTGTAGTTGGCCACCAGGTTTGCACACATCTCAGGAGGGATTTTGTCCCACTCCTCTTTGCAGATCTTCTCCAAGTCATTAAGGTTTCGAGCCTGACGTTTGGTAACTCGAACCTTCAGCTCCCTCCACAGATTTTCTATGGGATTAAGGTCTGGAGACTGGCTAGGCCACTCCAGGACCTTAATGTGCTTCTTCTTGAGCCACTCCTTTGTTGCCTTGGCCGTGTGTTTTGGGTCATTGTCATGCTGGAATACCCATCCACGACCCATTTTCAATGCCCTGGCTGAGGGAAGGAGGTTCTCACCCAAGATTTGACGGTACATGGCCCCGTCCATCGTCCCTTTGATGCGGTGAAGTTGTCCTGTCCCCTTAGCAGAAAAACACCCCCAAAGCAGAATGTTTCCACCTCCATGTTTGACGGTGGGGATGGTGTTCTTGGGGTCATAGGCAGCATTCCTCCTCCTCCAAATACGGTGAGTTGAGTTGATGCCAAAGAGCTCGATTTTGGTCTCATCTGACCACAACACTTTCACCCAGTTCTCCTCTGAATCATTCAGATGTTCATTGGCTAACTTCAGACGGGCCTGTATATGTGCTTTCTTGAGCAGGGGGACCTTGCGGGCGCTGCATAATTTCAGTCCTTCACAGCGTAGTGTTACCAATTGTTTTCTTGGTGACTATGGTCCCAGCTGCCTTGAGATCATTGACAAGATCCTCCCGTGTAGTTCTGGGCTGATTCCTCACCGTTCTCATGATCATTGCAACTCCACGAGGTGAGATCTTGCATGGAACCCCAGGCCGAGGGAGATTGACAGTTATTTTGTGTTTCTTCCATTTGCGAATAATCGCACCAACTGTTGTCACCTTCTCACCAAGCTGCTTGGCGATGGTCTTGTAGCCCATTCCAGCCTTATGTAGGTCTACAATCTTGTCCCTGACATCCTTGGAGAGCTCTTTGGTCTTGGCCATGGTGCAGAGTTTGGAATCTGATTGATTGATTGCTTCTGTGGACAGGTGTCTTTTATATAGGTAACAAGCTGAGATTAGGAGCACTCCCTTTAAGAGTGTGCTCCTAATCTCAGCTCGTTACCTGTTTAAAAGACACCTGGTAGCCAGAAATCTTTGATGCAAATCAATTTATAACATTTTTGAAATGCGTTTTTCTGGATTTTGTTGTTGTTATTCTGTCTCTCACTGTTCAAATAAACCTACCATTAAAATTATAGACTGATCATTTCTTTGTCAGTGGGCAAACGTACAAAATCAGCAGGGGATCAAATACTTTTTTCCCCCCTCACTGTACACACATAATCACGGATGGCCACACACAAAACATTTGTCTATACGTATCAATGATTACAAGACGTGATTGTATTGTTGTACAGATATAATGCGAATGCCATCACCAGAATGTAGTGTATTGGTTATAAATTGAATTTCACCCAAATATATTTTTTTATATTCAATGATCTTGTACATTTTCTAAAATAGCCAACCAAATGAGCCCCTGGGGGAAAAATAATCTTAATTGCTTATCCCGTAAACCATAACTGAGTTGAAAGGGATAGTTCATGAAAAATGTGTTTCTAACTTGGAATGATTCCAGCAATACAAACACTTAATGCAACCACTAAAATTCCCCAAATACATGGTCCAAGGACACCGCTTGTGTCTGGTTCTATAAGTGGATCATTAACCTTGCTTGTGCTGTTATGTTAAGACCACACGCCTCAGAGAAGCCATGAACAGACCCAATTTCTATATTCTGCTTCTTGCTGGTGTCTTGGTCAACGGGCAAGGTAGGCTGTTGTTTTAAGTTGTAGGCTGAATGAAGTGTTCATTTCTTTGTGTAAGAGGTTTGTCATCAGGAAAACATTTCTAATTGGCTTACAGCACACATACATGAAGAGTGAGTAACCAAAATGTCTAGGAGGTGCAGACTACCATTGCCATAATTGTTTTTACTATTTTTTAACACTTCCTTTAGGCAATGATGCTGTATTACAGTATATGGATTCAGTTTTTATCGTTCCCTTGCTTGTGTGTTGCAGCCCTCCGATGGCAAAACGAATTAGACCTGCCCTTACAGTTTAACTGCCCTTCAAGACAATCCATCTCTCACATAAAAAGGTGAGAAAAGTCATAGGCACTTATTTGCCTACTACAAATCTTCTACCAACGTGCAAAACCTCATCTTTCTGCTTGCATCTGCACTTTCACTGACTAGCACTGAATCCCAAAATGAAGCGTGTTCTCTAATCGTTAATGCGGTTGTACTTTTCATCACCAATTATGAACGAAATTATCTAATTGTGCTGCATAGACCAGTAAGTGCCAGTGTTGTGTTCGAGACCACCTAAAGCGAGACCGATTCAAGATCGAGACTGGATCAAATCGAGACCGAGTCAAGACAGACAGGGAAAAGGGGTCTCTCTCAAACCTTTTCAGCTAGTTGGCCATCAAAATTGCACTGATGAACGATGGGGAATTGTAGCCTCCTCGTCCTTCTGCAGCTTGCCTGCCAATGCATGCTGCCCCAACCAAGGACCCAAGCTAACTGGCTAAAGTTGGCTAGCTTGCTACTTCCAGACACAAATGAGAGAACAACTCACTGACCATTTTACTCACCGTTGCAGAGCTGGTTAGGCGGTTTACATGTTATCTAGAACGTTCTTGACTAAATATTACTTTTTTTGCCTACGTTTACTGACACTGGTCATATTCAGCAGGTGTTGCGTGTTCGTAAAGTCAGTTGTTCTGCGCTCTGGCACACTCAGACGAGAGTGCTCTGAAATTGGAGTAGATAGCCAGAATACATTTGCGAACACAAGATATATGCAAACTGTATAACAGTTCTTGCTTGCTAACCAAATGAGACCTGCATCTCTAGCTGTGTATAGCGACCAAAAAAACAGGGGGAGTCTGTCACTCACCCACTCCTCCAATGGCATGACATCCTCCTAGCAGATAGCTAAGCTAGCTAACATTAGGCTCTGTGTTAGCGTTCTACATAAATATAATTATATGCTAGCCTATTAGCTATGTTATGACTGACTTGTTATCATTGCCCTTGCTAGTTTGATTGTATTGACATTCCCAGCCTTAGTTACATTAGTCCGTTTTTGTCCAGAATATTGAGTCATTGAAACTGAAACAGTGAATCCCGAATAGAGGCAGCAAGGAATGTACCAGGCCAGCTGTGATTTACAACCTGATAGCAATACTTTCTGGACTACCAAGAAATGTATTGGTGAATTATATTAGATGGATGCAGTTCAATGCATGATTTATTCTGCCAACAATGCCTTACTGTACGTCATGGAACATTGAGTCAAATATAACCTATTTTTAAAACCTCTTATAAAGTTGGTTTTGTAAAATAAACTGGGAATTTGACTGATTATGATTGTTTGTTTGTTTCATATCTGCAAAGTAGTTAAAACGCTGTCAGTTCCACTTTAAACTTTAGGTCACCGGTTACTTTGTGTGCTTAAACGTGCAATGATCTTTGCAATGGGAAGTAATAGTTGTACATTTCGATTGGGAAATGCTTAATGGTTGTGTTTTGGTATTCTTATGATTGAGATCTACTGGCTTATTATGTCAGAGTTTATGGACTGCTTATCCTTTATCATCATGCTGTGTGTGACTGCTGTCTTTCCATCGGCCCTATGAAGTGGTGTAGTGGTGCCTGGAGAAGTGGGTATACTCAAATTTTGCCCATAAGTTCCCAAACGGCCCACCCAGCGAAGGAAAGGCACCCTGTGTGAGTTTTCCTATAGCTTTTTAACATTTTCACTCTCAAAATCACATTTATTTATTTGTTTTAATAGAAAAAAGACACAAATGTGATGGTCTAAGTCCACATCAATCTGATTGGGTGGGCCTGTCAGTGCCTGGCTCCCCAGTTGGTGGCCTTCTGTCCACCCAGGCCCATCCATGTCTACGCCCCTGATGCAAACATCACATGATGACAATTGCGCATTACAAATAGCCTACTAACCAACACGTCAGAAGTAAACTTGTTCAATTCCTGGTTTGCATGCCCATCGTTGCCTTAGTATTTACTGGTAGATATCATTAATTGAAACGTCTTTCCTACCCTACCGGCTACCGATGTCATTCTTCTGTGAGCTGCTCCATGAGTGGTCCTCTGTAGCTCAGCTGGTAGAGCACGGCGCTTGTAACGCTAAGGTAGTGGGTTCGATCCCCGGGACCACCCATACACAAAAAAATAAATATGTATGCACGCATGACTGTAAGTCGCTTTGGATAAAAGCGTCTGCTAAATGGCATATTATTATTATTATTATTATGAGAACTGCACACTTGCTGCCTGCAGATGATATTCTGCTGCAACAAGGCTGTGTGGGCACGCATGTGAATATATATAAAGCCTGTTAAGATATTCATGTTTCAAGAAAGGAGTATATATATATATATATATATATATATTTGGCCTGGCAATGACTGAATGGAAGCTGATAAGTATGAGTGTTTTACTTCGCTGGTCTCGGGCAGAAATTACTAGTCCTCACTGTTTGAGACAGAATCAAGACAGAGTACAAATGTATTCGACACAAGACCGAGACACTCAATGATTTATTGAGACCGCACTGCAGTGTTGATATTGGACATATTAACAAATTAAACCTTAAATGCATTTACAGTGCATTCGGAAAGTCTTCAGACCCCTTGACTTTTTCCAAATTTTGTTACGTTACAGCTTTTTGTAAAATTGATTAAATAGTTTGCAAATGTATAAAAAAAAAGAAAAAAAAGGAAATATCACATTTACATAAGTATTCAGACCCTTTACTCAGTACTTTGTTGAAGCACCATTGGCAGCGATTACAGTCTTCTTTGGTATGACGCTACAAGCTTGGCACACCTGGATTTGGGGAGTTTCTCCCATTCTTCTCTGCAGATCCTCTCAAGCTCTGTCTGGTTGGATGGGGAGTGTCGCTGCACAGCTATTTTCAAGTCTCTCCAGAGATGTTAGATCGGGTTCGAGTCCGGCCTCTGGCTGGGCCACTCAAGGACATTCAGATACTTGTCCCGAAACCACCCCTGCGTTGTCTTGGCTGTGTGCTTAGGGTTGTTGTCCTGTTGGAAGGTGAACCTTCGCCCCAGTCTGAGGTCCTGACCGTTCTGGAGCAGGTTTTCATCAAGGATCTCTGTACTTTGCTCTGTTCATCTTTCCCTCGGTCCTGACTAGTCCCAGTCCCTGCCGCTGAAACACATCCCCACAGCATGATGCTGTCACCACCATGCTTCACCGTTGGGATGGTGCCAGATGTGACACTTGGCATTCAGGCCAAATAGTTCAATCTTGGTTTCATCAGACCAAAGAATGCTCTCATGGTCTGAGAGTCTTTAGGTGCCTTTTGGCAAACTCCAAAACGGGCTGTCATGTGCCCTTTACTGAGGGGTGGCTTCAGTCTGGCCACTCTACCATAAAGGCCTGATTGTTGGAGTGCTGCAGAGATGGTTGTCCTTCTGGAAGGTTCTCCCATCTCCACAGAGTAACTCTGGAGCTCAGAGTGACCATTGGGTTCTTGGTCACCTCCCTGACCAAGGCCCTTCTCCCCCGATTGCTCAGTTTGGCCGGGCGGCCAGCTCTAGGAAGAGTCTTGGTGGTTCCAAACTTCTTCCATTTAAGAATCATGGAGGCCACTGAGTTCTTAGGGACCTTCAATGCTGCAGAAATGTTTTGGTACCCTTCCCCAGATCTGTGCCTCGACACAATCTTGTCTCGGAGCTCTACAGACACTTCTTTCGACCTCATGGCTTGGTTTTTGCTCTGACAACTGTGGGACCTTATAAATCATGTCCAATCAATTGAATTTACCACAGGTGGACTCCAATGAAGTTGTAGAAACATCAAGGTTGATCAATGGAAACAGGATGCACCTGAGCTCAATTTCAAGTCTCATAGTAAAGGGTCTGAATAGTTATTTAAATAAAGGTATTTTTTACTTTTTTTTATAAATTTGCAAAAATGTCTAGAAACCTGTTTTCACTTTGTCATCATGGGGTATTGTGTGTGGATTGATGAGGAAAAATTTAATTAATCAATTTTAGAATAAGGCTGTAATGTAACAAAATGTGGAAAGAGTCAAGGAGTCTGAATACTTTCCGAATGCACTGTATGTTTGTTTTCAAATCAATTCAACCATTAATATGTGCATTGTCATGTATCTAATTTCAGTCAGCATGACAACAACCATGAAGACCGTGTGTGGGACTTTGAGTGCAAAGACACGTTTGTCTATGAGCCCGAGTGCCACTGGTCTCCTTACGTAAATGACTTTGACCAGGAGTTTGCCTTTGAATGCCCCAGAAACTATGTCCTCAATGGGATGATCAGCTATCATTCCAACCCCCATGAGGACAGAAGGTGAGTAGACCTCAACGTTCAACAGAGCCAAAATGTTGAAATAGTATTCGTTTAATTTTTCAAATACTTTGAGCGGTTGATTTAGCCTGCTTGGAGTGCCATATGAGCAGCATTTGCACTTTTGGGACTAGTCTATTGGTTCCAGCAAATGCAGCTGAAGTATTTGAAAGAAAACCAATATTTGAATCCAGGTTTGACATAATCCTGACTGTGAAAAAGGTCTTATACTATACCGCACATGTGTGATTTCCATCACTGTATCACAGGTGGAGGTTCTTTTGCTGTAGAGTCAACAGCTACTGTAACCAGGACTGTCAGTGGACCCCCTACGTCAACTACTTTGATGAGTTAATCTCTTGGAAAGTCCCAAGCCTGAACTACCTAGTTGGGGCCGGAAGCTACCATTCCAATCCTCATGAGTGAGTACAATATGTGTGTGATTTTGGTCAGGGGAGCGATGTTTCAACAACAAGAATGTTTACCTCAAAATGTATTGTGTATTTTCAGAGACCGTCGCTGGAGATACCAGTACTGCACACGGACGAAAAACTGCTGATATTACGGCTGATTATTGCATTCTTGAGTAAAGATTGCCTACTGCCTACTTTCTTGTGTTGTGTTTCATTTAATTATTTTTTTCATTGCATATTCATAAATCAAGCCACTGAGTCTGACTAGAAGTAAACAAAAATGTTGTTTTTTTAAAGAATAAAAAAAAGTGCTGTGCCTATTTCGCTTTATGCAAATATAAACTGTTTGACTGCTAAACCGGTTTAACAAAGAAGCTGCCTTCACTGATGGTCACTTTTAAGTTGATGCTGTACAACTCCAAATGTTCACAAAGAGTTCAGTGCAAGTAAATAAGAATGTTTCAACCTTTTTCAAAGTGTGAGCACACACACACACACCTCTAGCTCAACGCAGAATAATTTACGACACACAGAAACACACAACTAAATGGAGAACACACACAAAAAACCTACCTGAGCCTGGAACACAGAGATGGTCTCCAGCTCCTTCTCCTTCTGATATATCTCTTGCTTCATGACATCTATCTGCTGTTGCTTAGCAGCCAGGGCCTTCTCTGCTGCGCCCAGTCTGGTCTGCAGGTCTCCCACCTCCTTAGTGACCAGTGGCTGAAGGCCACACAGAGGGCAAGGGTCAGATTCATCCCATTCACCATGCCATACCATTTTGACAAACGACAAAACAGTGCAAAGCGCCAAACTAGACTGATTTCTGTTTAACAGAGGCTAAGTAGTGTGGTCACCTCTCTGTTCTTGCTCTCTTGCTTCAACTCGTTGTAGTCCTCGAATAGCTTGGTGTAGGCATCCTTCAGCTGGGTCAGGTTAGTCCTGAGGAGGGGAGGAGGGGCAACTGACTCATGATGACTAAGGAGTATTTAGATATAGAAACTAATGGCACTGACCAGTGGAAACTGATAGGGGACAGGGGGCGTGGGAGGATTTCAAAAGAGGAGCAGGGAATTTCCATCCCAAGACCCCACCCAAGGGACTGGCCCAATAGTGTAAGAGGGAGTAGGCAGTGTGTGTGTGTGTGTGTGTGTGTGTGTGTGTGCGTGCGTGCTTGACTGTCGTCCCACCTCTCCTCTCCTGCTTTCCTCTGCTCTAGCTGGCCCTGGGCCTTCATGCTGTCCACCTGCAGCTTCAATCTGTCATTCTCACTCTGAACCTCCTGCTTCTCTACCAGCTGGGCTTTCAGAGTCACCACATCCTGCTCCACATCCCTGCATCTACACAGACGGAGAGAGAAAGGGGGAATGGGGAGAGAGAGAAAGACAGAGAGCAGGATAGAGGCAAAGTGAAAGGGTGGAAAGGGGGAAAGGGAAAGAGCAAAGGTTAGTATAGTTTACACATTTTCATTGCATCTCTTCTCCTCTGCCTCTCTTTCCTCTGTCTCTCACCTGTCCTGCAGGTTCTTCTTCATGCCCTCTGCGTCGTCCAGTTTGCGCTGAGCCTGTTGTAGCTCATTAAACAGGGTCATCATCTGAGCCTTCAGATGCTCCACCTCTGACGCAGCCTGACACAGAACAGACACAACAGTCCATCAACAAACTGACAGTTCTGATCGAGAAGCTAAGGGTTAGGACATTGTAATGGGGACATTTAAGATGAATAAAGTTAAGAGTAATTAACACAATGCTTAGCATATTTATATGTTTTCCCTTTTCTGTAATACACATGATTTCCAGTGTTTTATTTGGGACACTCATTTGTGTACTGGTTGATGGTCACTAGACTTGATACTGAATGTTATGGATTGTTCTCATATCTGTTGATTGTGATTGACGCCAGACTGGAGGTGCAAGGACAGAGGACACTGATTGTTATTGTATTCTGGGACACTGTCATTCTATAGCAGCTGATGTTGTGACTTCCTACAAGCTTCTCGGCGGGTGTTTCCAGAACATTGGTGCTGTGAGATTAGAAAATAAGGCCCTGCTTCTCTGCTTTTGTGCTGGAGGTGTCTCCCTGTTGCAACTTGTATTAAACCAGATTAATTTACTTTATATGAGACTTATTTTATTCACCTGGAAAATCCCTATTACATACTGTACATTAATACAGTTCAATCTCAATAACTTCCCTGTTCTTACAGGGTGAGAGACAAGCTCTTACCCAGCCTATCTGTGTATATACCTTCTCCTTCCCAGAGTTCTGTTGGGGCTCCTCCTCTGGTTCAGGCTCAGTACCACATGCTGTGGTGGCTAGCGCTGGGGAAACCACCTCTGGCAGTAGTGAGGTCTGTGTGGAGCTCTCCGTGTTAGTTTCCTTCTCCTCCAGCTCTGTGATTCTGAAAGACATAGGAACATCAGTCTTTGGTTCCACCCAAACATAAGCCCAGGCAGAAATGCGGCCTACCTGGATCTAGCAGCCTCGAGCTCGATTTGTAGCCTCTCCACCCTCTGGGTCTCCTTCCTCAGGGACTGGAGCAGCTGGCTGACAGTCAGCTCCTCAGACTCCTGCCTGGACGCACTCATGTCATACCTGGAGTCCTTTTCATTATGATACAGGTCCTTTCCAGTATCCTCTCTCTACACACACACACACACACACAGCAGTGCTAAAGTAAGAACACACCCTTATAATATGGATGGCTGGATGGAGAGAGTGAGTGCTACTCACAGCAATCCTGATCTCTATGAAGGAGTCATCCTCTGACCCCTGACCTGTCTTGAGCTGGAGTTCAGAGTTCATGGCCACCAGGTCACTTTTCTCCGCCTGCAGACGCACCAGTTGGGCACGCAGTGCCTCCAGTTCTGCATTATGATTGGCTGTCCCGTCCTGGAGGTGACACAGCACAGATAGGACAAAACAGTCTGCCCAGCAGTATATATATTTATCAATATTCTACTAAAACACTCCATCTTTATTTTCCAAGCCTCTTCTTTTGTTATACAAAATCTAGCTAAATCTACAGACAATCCTCCATACATGATTTTCTCTATTAATAAGCTGAATATGTGGTCTAGCCAGAGAACTAACATTTGGAACATTTGCCTTCCCTTTCTCTCACCTGTCCCTTCCCCTCTGCACCTCCTCCTCCCTCCTGCTCCTCCACCTTCCTGCTGAGCTCCTGGTTGTGTAAGGAGAGGGCCTCCATGCGGCCGCGAGCCTCATCCAGCCTCCCCTCCAGGAACTCCTTCTCCTCCCTCTGCTTCTCCCTCCACACAGAAAGACCCTCGAAGCGCTCCTTCATCGACATGTTGGTCTGCTTCAGCGCCTCTACAGGGGAAGATACACAGGGAGTACATTACTGTAGAATACACAAAAACACACACACTGACAGAGCAGTCAATACATAATCAGCCAATGCAAGACAATCATAACCTCATATGCCATAACATCCCAATGTCCCTGCCCCATACAGTAGATTCTCAATAAGCTTTAATAAGGCTGAACCACATTCTGGTCCCCTCTCCATGTAATAATATGCCATTTAGCACACGCTTTTATCCAAAGCGACTTACAGTCATGCGTGCATAAATGTTTGTGTATGGGTGGTCCCGGGGATCGAACCCACTACCTTGGTGTTACAAGCGCCGTGCTCTACCAGCTGAGCTACAGAGGACCATGTCTCACCCTTCAGCTCTCGGTTCTCCTGGATGAGGCGGTTCATCTGCTGCAGCGTTTCCTCCAGGGTGCCTGTGGTGGGGCTGTGGCCGGGGTGGGAGCTAGGACCCCGGGAGATGTCCCCGTTCACCACGGGGGAGCTGGACGCCATCACTCTACAGCAAGGTGAGATGGTGTGGAGCCATGCAAGTGGACAATACATTTTTCAGACTATGGAATACACTAGATTGATAATAGGGACTCTGATTCTAGGGAAGGCCCGTGCTAGGACAATCAAATGTTTATATATTCTCTAGATCTGCATGCATCAAAACAACAAACAGCACACGCCTTGTCAGAGGTGTGAAGGAATACTATTGCACAATGACTCATGTACACTGGGCAATATCCGTTATTGAATAATCTTATCAGCAGTTGTCACGTGGTAGGCAGCTCCTCACAGTGCCCACCAGAGAGAAGCCAGCAGCCTGCTTGAGTGTGCTGGCCACTTGTCATGTAATTTAATAAACCCCCACAGGTCTGGGAATTGATTGTATATTGTAGCGACCTTAAAGAAACACCTAGCGACCCCCTCAAAAGGTTCGGAACCTTTTGGCATAACAGACTTCTTGGTGTAACTCAGTGTTTCCCAAACTCAGTCCTCGGGACCCCAAGGTGTGCACGTTTTGGTTTTTGCCCTAGAACTACACAGCTGATTCAAATAATCAACTAATCATCCAGCTTTGGGCAAAAACTAAAACGTACACCCCTTGGTGTCCCATGGACCGAGTTTGGGAACCATTGGTTAACTGTTAAGGCATGTGTCAAACTCATTCCATAGAGGGTAGAGTGTCTGCTGGTTTTCACTCCTCCCTTGTACTTGATTGATGAATTAAGGTCACTGATTAGTTAGGAACTCCCCTCGTTTGGTTGTAGGTCTTAATTGGACACAAATGAAAGGAGAAACCAAAAACCAGCAGTCACTCGGCCCTCCATGGAATGAGTTTGACACCACTGGGTTTATGGTGCTTTCAAGACAACTGGGAACTAGGAAAAAAACCAGGTCGAATCATGACGTCAGTGATCTTAAGGTTCGGAAAGTCGGCGTTCTAGAAAGAGGCCCGAGTTCCCTACTTTGTTCCCGAGTTGGATGACCATTCAAAACACATTTTCCCAGTCAGAACTAGTTTATTTCCTTATTCCCAGTTGTCATGAACACACTGAAGTCGGAAATTTCCCAGTTCGGAGTTCCCAGTTGGTTTGAACGTGGCATAAGGTGTTGGCTTTCGCTGGACCTGGGTTCCAGCCCCAGTCTGGGCTAGCCCCTAAATTCAGTAAAATAACGTGACACATCATAACACATAAAAAAAGAATAGACTACCGACTCAAAACATGGGTTGACTGACAGCTGTCAAGGCTGCCGTCTTTTCTCCTACTCCTTTCACTTTCACTTCCTCATTTGAAATTCTACCTACCTTTGACAATTAAACAACAATAACACAATGTACCATATTTGACAGCTTCTTTAGCTAGCTTGGGTAAAAACAATGTGAGAACGAAATTGTAGTTCCCAAACTGTTAGTGCGTCACATAACAACTAGGCCTAACAAATCAATTGCAATACTCACACGTGATTAAAGTACACCTTGAAAGAACTGAACTTAAACAAACTCGGATACTTCTTGATGAAGATCAAACCTTAACACTGCTGTTTCGTCTTCTTCGGACTTGTTATGGGTTTACAGCATTTCCTTGTCTTAACGTCACGTCACAATGAAGGGTTTGTAAACGTTGTATCAGCTGTGGTACTGATCAAACCTTCAACCAGATGGATGAGCTTACGCTCGTTTACCTTCATATGCCGTATCTTTTGCAAATCAGTGATTATGCTGCGTTAGTGACACCCTCGAACTGGCCCACGGAGCGCACAGAGCAGCTGACGGTGACGTCATGGACTGCAATTCTAGCGGGTTTTCCCTTTAGGAGTGACCTTGCACTTTTGGGAAAGGAGTGACATTTGCTTGGTAAACCAATTACATATGAGATCAGAAAGCCGACTCCTCAATCATTTATTGGACAATTTCATTGGAGGATTGAGAATTTATTCAGCCTATATTATAGACTATTTCCACATCAGTCTAATCAAACAGGAAAGCCTTTTGCCTAATTTCCCCACTATCCGCCTACTGCACTATGGCACTGTATAATAATTTAAAAAATGGAACCTGAGTAGTAAAATGAGTATGACTATGAAGGATGAGAGGCTATATGGGCACTCCTGTATGAATAATACAGTGGGGTATAATTGGCTTGCCTTGGACCACAAACAAATGTTGTTGGTTTGCAGGTCATTCAAATGTCCACTAGATGGCAACGTTCACTTGGAGAAGAAAGGTGCATGAACTATCCCTGCAGCAAAGTAGGCTCTTGTCTCGTGAAGGCAGTTGTTCAACCATATGAAATGTGTGTAAGTCAGAGGAGGCTGGTGGGAGAAGCTATAGGAGGACGGGCTCATTTTATGGCTGGAAGGGAATCAATGGGATGTATCAAACATATGGAAACCACATGTTTTACTCCGTTCAATTTATTCCATTCCAGCCATTTCAATGAGCCCGTCCTCCTTTAGCTCCTCTCACCAGTCTCCACTGGGTATGTGTGTATCACCACATGATATTAAAAAGTAGGCCTACATTATGTAATTGGCTATTTATTAACAATCACATATTGTCCTACTAATAAATGCTTACACATATTTGGCCAAGCAAGCATGCCTACTGTTCCTTGACAAAGACTTTAATGCACAACATAGACAAGACTACATGCATTTGATTTGCCTAAGAAAGCACACAATGCTTGACTTATCAAAATGAATAAATAAGCAAGCAACCACAACAAAAGCTCGAGCGCATGTCTGCATTACTCCTATCCATTACAAATATTTATTTAATAATCTCATAAAAACGTTTTTGTAGTAAAACAGGGGCGATTCAATGATTGGCTGTGTAGACCTTGGGGCAGTCTGATTGGTCGGAGAGATCTTTGAGAATGAAGGGGCTTTGAGGAGCCTTGAGGAATGTGTTTGAATGGGACTGGACTTGCGCTGCATCGGGCTCAAAAAATGCGCACTTAAACACTGGGTCATAACATTGGATTATCTGTCTGTGGATATCCTTGAAGCTCTCTGTCTTTAACGGAATTAACAGCTGACTAACGGACTCCACTGCTCAAGGGGACCCAGATTAAAAACCGGGAGCAGGTCTATTTCTCTCTCTGTGTGATCTGTCATATAGTTTTCACCCAACTTTTTACTGGAACCAGTTACATTTTATTGACTATAATTCAACGGTACGATCACAGTGCCGTTATTATATGCCCCTATCACTGGATATAAAGGAACTTAACTTTATATTGCAAAAAAGTTGGATTTAATTACAGAAAAAGTTTTATCGTATTTGTGCCCGAGTGGGGTAACGAATAACAGGAGTACCCAAATTGAAAGACAGGAATTACATGCACACCAGACATGATGTTCTTTGCGCACTTGCTTCTTGCTCTTGGCTACATGGCGAGCATTGCGCAAGGGTGCCAACTGCCCACCGAGTGGCGTCCATTGAGTGAGAGCTGCCGTGCGGAACTGGCGGAGATCATTGTGTACGCCAAGGTGCTGGCCATTCACCGGGAGCAGTATGGCGGAGCAGAGGGCCTCTACAACTCCCTGCCATTCCCGTACGGGTATGGTTATGAGGGCGCAGAGGAAGGGTTGCTCTACTCGGCAGAGGTGGAGCTCATGTGCGACCAGGCGTGGGGCAGCATGCTGGAGGTGCCGGCGGGCTCACGCCTCAACCTGACAGGGCTGGGGTACCTGTCGTGCCAGACTCACACCGTGATGGAGAACTACTCCTACATCTTCTTCCTCAGGTGAGTCAGGATGACCTGGTGACCGGGAACCTGTGTGCATTGCACAGAATCACTAATACATTTAAAAGAGTGTGATGCATCATAAACACACACAAAAACATCACATAGACTTTACAGCATAATGGCCTACAATATTTAGCTCCTCTATCCTCTCTTTTCTGGATGCACTTTGTGATATAATACAGACTTGAGCCCTTTTAGGGGTCACGTTTTGACCCTATAGGAAGCATGCACTCAGTCACTCACAGTGTTTGTTTGTTTACCTTCTACAGGATGGATGAGAACTACAACATCCTGCCCCACGGGGTCAACTTCCAGGACGCCATCTTCCCAGACACCTTAGAGAACCGCCATACGTTCTCCAGCCTGTTCCAGTTCTCCAACTGCTCCCACGGCCAACCCCTCCAGACCTTCAGCCCCGAGTGGGACCCCCAGGAGGACAGCAGGGTAAGACCAATCAACACACTGCATACACTGTACATAGGAGGAGGGGGGAAGGGGGGGTAGACAAAGAGAGAGGGGGGGAGGGAGAGAAAGGGAGATGGAGGGGAATATGGGTTGGAGAGGGAGAAAGAGAGAGAAAGGGAGAAAAATTTAGAAAAAGGTAGATGAATGGAGTGGGCGAAATAGAGAGAGATGCAGAGAGAGATAAAGAAGGGAGATGAATAGAGAGATAACGAGAGAAAGGGTCAGGAAGAGAGAGATGGGAAGGCAGGGTATTGTCCTCTGGGCCTGAACAGCTGGAAATATCAATTCTACCTGCTTGTAAAACGCCAACAGACATCCACATGTGCACACACATGCATGCACGCTGGCACACACCTACTGTAGACACACACACACACACAGTTGTGCAGCAGAGCAGGGTTGTAGCTAAGGCCGGCCATGGAAAATATTAAACTCTATGCTTTACAACCTTGTTGCCCCTGGATACAGAAGGTGCTCACATGTAGCTCCCCGCTCTCCAGATGTGTGTACATCTGCAGCAATGATCTCACTGACCTTCACAGAGTAACACACACACAGTCAGACATTCACCTCTGAGCCACCAACATCCTCAGACACTACTCTGTTGTATGAAATGGATTTAGCTATAGAGACACAGTCAAAGATCCCCCACACAGTTTAAGAGTCAGATACAGAGCATACACCAAACACACAGACTGCCCACCCAGCTAACTGTGTGTTTGTGTGTGTCTAGGTCACTCTGCTTAGACTTTAACCTCACTCTGAGATCAAAGCAGTCATTGATTAAGTCATGTGGCTTCCTGTCTCCTCTGATTCCCTAGGCATGATATTCATTTCTACTGAGGTCAAAGGTCAAAACAATACAGACGCACACCCAGCACTCAGCCATGCCCAAGGTTCACTGGACCAAAGACTGTCGCTGACGTGGTCACATGCTCATAGTCATATCCCTTCGGTGTACACAGATCTGCACACCTGAAAGGGATTGGATAGATGTTAGCAACATGCTAGAAGCTTCACTTGACCATATGGCTTACACCTACCTACCCATTGTTTTCAGACCTGCAGACAATGAAATGGAACGGGGTCTCAGGGAGACTGGAGAGGAGGGATGATGTCATGTGAAACCTCAGAGGTACAGTGGTCAGGTCTTCTCCTATTCCTGTCTCTATCCCAGAGAGCCTGTAAAACATTGACGGAAGACTTGTGACACACAGGGTGTCGGGTTTCTGATGGGTTAACGGGTTGAGAGGTTAGAGGTTAGGGGTTAAAGACACTATGCGTGGCATGAGCCCATGTGCTGACATGCAGGGGTCGCAACCTTAGGAGTGGGGTTGGATGTGAAACAGGTGTGTTCCATGTGGAGGAGCCGATGTGTGTGTTGTCGGAGTGTGTCAGAGTTTACGCTATGGAAATATAGACAAAGTTAATAGGAGAGAAACAGGCTTAAAAATGATACTACAAACCCGTGGGAACCAATCAATGGAACCACAGCTCACACACACCCACACATGCAGTGGTGTAGTGGAGGGTAAATGCAACTGAACGCAGTTTACCCACTTTTTGCTGGAAAATGCATTGAAAGTATAAGGAGCGTTACTTTTTTCACTGCGACCGGTGATCAGAGTTTACCCACCTATTTTATTACCACTACATCACTGCATGCACGCACGCACACACACACAGGTGTAGAGGTTAACGTGTGTCTGAGGCTCTCTTCAGCGATGTGTTTGGCAGATGGAGGTGGTTAGTTAGGGAATGGCTGGGAGAGGCTAGGATAATGAGGCTGGCTCTGTCTGCTCTGTAGTTTTCCTGTGGGAACGCTGACGTTCCAGACGGACGTCCCATGCAGGCTGGCCCTGCCCGAGGGGAAGGAAAGATGAGAGTGCCTCCACTTTCACCCAAACCCCCAATTAGCACTTGTTTAAACCCCTTCTTATCCAGAGAAGGTTCCGGAGCGCCAAAACGAATCCATGGACACTGTCCTCAGAATTCCTCCTCTAAGAGTTCTCTCTTAAGACTTCCTCTCCTTTATTATAGAGAAAAGCCTGCAGGAGTTGATAAATGAGAGATAAAGAGAGACCGGTAAGAGAGAGAAAGAGAGAGGGAGAGAGGAAGAGATAAAGACAGATTGGGGAGAGAGAAAAGAGAGGGAGGGAGAGATAAAGAGACTGGAGTTATAGGGAGATTGAGGACAGATCTGGGTCTCTCATATGAACAAATGCCCTGTACCTCAATGCTTCTCCAGCCTAAATGCCGGATCACCTCTAAGCATCTTCATCACAGTGTGTTCTGTGAGTCAGTCCTACCTGATGTAGTGTAATAACCCTCCCTTTCTAACCCCTTTTAATGGAAATTAGTTGTGTTCAGTCACAGCAAGGGTAAATACTTTGTCATCTAATGCACCCTAGCTTTCTTCCGTAGGGCATGGAAATCTCAAATTAGACCCCCCCCCCCATACACGCACTCACTGGAGTAATCACAGTGTGTACTCTGCCAAACAGAAGGACAGTGTATGTTCCATACTGTGGCTGCCACACTAACTCGAGCAGACCTGCGTGCATACCAACCAAGATCCAATGCGAAATTCGACATCCTTCCAGGTAGCCAGGAAGTCAGGAGATTACTTAAAAACCTGCCACTAGGGGCAAAGGTGAGCGCCGTTACCATCAAGTATTCTTGTGATTTGCTAGGGCGTTGTGGATGGGTGTAAGCTGCGAGCTCTTGCTCCAAGGGTCGTGTGTTCAATCCCAGTGCTAGGGACCTTTTTATAAAAATAAATATTTGTTTTCATCCTATCCCAAACTTTAACCCTTAAATTAACCATTCAGAGTTAATGCCTAAATGTAACTGTCGTTGTTGATGTTGTAACTGTAACCCTATCCCAAACTTAACTGCCAAAATTTGACGTTTGGAGAAATGTTGACATGTTATGTTAGGAGAAATGGAAACAAACATTGGAATCTGAAGTCAAATTGGTAAAACAGTGAGATCTTGTTGCACATACAGTCACACACACACAGTTGGATTACTCACACACACAGACGGTGTTTAGATTAAGGTTTTACAGCTGCTCAGGGGCTATAAGAAGGAGGACCTCAGTTCAGGTCAGGAGGGTACACTGCTGTGTGTGTTTAGGGGTCTGTGTGTTGCTCGGTGTGTGTGTCTGTGTGTGTGTGAGCGGCTGTGCCTGTTTACACAGATGATCCTCCACAGCAGGCAGGTAACACCCAGATGTTTTGACAGGTGATGCTGGGGATGGATGGATGGTTGGGAGTTAGCTTTGGATAAAGCGAGGGAGAGCCGTGACACACCGGTCTGGACAAGAATCTGTTTGTTGGTGCAATATTCACACAATAATTGTTTTGTGCTTTGATAGTTTTTTTTCCTGGAGGGTTGAGACCTCTCATTGTTTGGATTTGAAAATCCAATAGTTGTATTGGAAAGGGGCGGCACTCTGGGACTGTGTGTGGCTGTCGATGTGGGTGTTTGAGTGAGAAAGACAGAGGAGAACCGATCAGTCAAAAAAACATAGCCGTTATCGACACATCATGCCGACAACATCAAAACAGCCTTTCCAGACTCTGAAGTCAGAAAGACTACCAGGTCCCTGGATTGGGTGCAATGTTCCCTCTAAACTGTACGTGTGCGCGGCCGTGCACCTCCTCCAGGACTGCCGCGCAGAAGAAATGCCAGGCTGCACAGAGAAGCAAGTGATTGAACTTCACTGAGTTCACACCATTAGTTTACACTATATAGATCAACGTTTTTTCTGTGATCGAATCAACATTATATCAGCCCCTTTTCAATGCAACAAACCAAAACAAATCTAACTTTGTAAGATTGAGTCTGTTATTTTGTTGTAGGCAGAGCCAGAGCGCAACAGAGTAGAATTCTACAGGCAGGGGTAGTCCATGAGCGATCAGAGCGCAGAACCGCGGTGTGCACATTTGTTGATATTCTTTGCTAGTTAGTGAGTTATTTGCCCAGTTATAGATCATTATAGGTCAGAAATGTTTAGTTACTGCTTCCTACAAGAGCACAAAACGGGTAGGCTACATTTCAAGCTGTCTTTGAAAAGCCAGTCAGGTAAAAAGCTTATGTCTTAAAGGGGTAGTGTTGTATTTTGAGACGGGCTTGAATATACAAATAAGCCAATATGCAGAGGGTTAGCCGACATTGTCTAATTCTCTGTATGGTAATAATGAATTTTATGTTGTAAAGTGGTTTCTTACATCATACAACACAATACAATGCAATTTACAGCCACCTATTTGCCCCATGGTGTTACAGACCAAGTAGATAAAAAAATAAGAAACCGTTACACTGCTCTTGCTAGAATCACTGCTCTTTATTAAGCTTTACGTATCGGCCTCAAGGACTTCGTCAGCGCTTTTGTGAGTGTTTTTAATTTGCACCCTTATGTAGACATTGCTCCGCCCACATCCGTTCAATGCATCGAATGGAGTTGGAGTCGAGGGAAAATAAACATGAAAACCTACTTGATAGGTTGATGTCCTCACTGTGGTTTTAAAGACGTGTTTAATACGTTATGAACACACTTTATTAGAATGCTTATGAAATGCACATTATTATAGTTGGTAAAACTTTTATTTTCCCTCGACTCCAACCCCATTCGATGCATTGCACGGATGTTGTAAGGGTTGGTGTGAGGTGTAACCCAGGTGCAGTACAGGATAGACAGTAGTCAGTAGGCAGAGATGATGAAACAAGGAACTTTACTGATGGTCCCGAAGCCAGGATACAAAATAACAGACTTTACACGAAAAAGAAAGGCGGAGCAAATAAGACTCAAAAAAACAGGCAGACAGCCAAAAATACAAAATACTAACTATGACTGAAATAATAAATAAACAGGGAGAACACTTCTCACGTACCTGTCCATACATCCCGCGATCAGACACTGATTAGTACTGCTTGGCATAATGAAACTAGCAGAGAAAACGGAGCAAAGGAACACAGGGAAGTGAGGGCATAAATACAGATAGACACAGGTGACACCAATAGGAAGATGATTAGTCCCGACTGTGAGTGAGGAGGTGCCTAAGGTTGTCGGAGGATGACACCTAGTGGGTCGCTCCGGAACTGCGACCCACTCCTGTAACAAGATGTGGGTGGAGCAATGTCTACATAAGGGTGCAAATTATAAACACTCACAAAAGCTCTGATGAAGGCCTTGAGGCCGATAGGTAAAGCTTAATAAAGAGCAGTGATACTAGCAAGAGCAGTGTGCAGGTTTCTTATTTTTTCTCTCGTGTTATTCACTTGTTACCATGCACCTGCAAAAAAGATAGCTCGGAATGTGCGAATGCCTTTTGAATTTTGAGTTACAGAGCAAGTAAAACATCATTAATTGATGTCAAGCCCTTTATAATGTAAAAACGTTTTTAAAAGTCTAATTCAATGTAGGCCTGCATTTAACACCACATATAGGCTACTGTAGGCTATATCATATAAATCAAAAGCTATTTCCATGTGAAAATGTTATGGGATTTGCTCCATTGGTTTTGTTGGTAGGCCTACATTATAATCAAGTAGCCACAATAACCTATTGGCTTCTGTCAAAAACTGTAAGGGTACAGGCTTAGTGTTCACTGTAAATGTGCATCAGAAGTTGCACAGAATTCTCACAACGTTCAAGTTTCCGCTCACAAGACCAAAAATTTGCTCAGTACCCAAACATGGGTTAATTTAACCATCGGTTTGGTTTTTATTCAGATTTATGCTGGGTTGACCCAGCAGCTGGGTATTTTTTAAATGTAATCCATAGGTTATTTTCAGGAGGCGTGGCCTATTAGGGGTGTGTCGTTCAGGGTTATTTTTTGGCCCCCCGTGAGAGTAAATGTCATTCCTGTTCATCATGTTAAGTTTGTACACTGCAAATTTCAATGTTCCTTGAATATTTTTGCACATTACATTCTAATATACAATTAATAATATTATTATTTACATATTGTAACTATCCAAATATATAACTCATACACTTGTGTAAGCCTCATTAAAGCTACAAAAGTGTCAGTGTTCAACCTTAACGTGTGATGACAATACAACAGATGAACCGGTATTAGTCCCTTGTAGCTCAGTTGGTAGAGAATGGCGCTTGCAACGCCAGGGTTGTGGGTTCGTTTTCCACGGGGGGCCATTATGAAAAATGTATGCACTCACTAACTGTAATCGTCTGTAGAGTCTGCTAATGACAAAATGTAATGTAATACATTACCTCACAGGTGCAAAACAATCCTGAAGCCATCCACTAACCACCCTCCAGTCCTTGACTGACCCGTGTTTCTCAATAACCGCATCAACAACCCAACTGCCTTTAAGAACAACCCAACTAAGTGACCCAATACCTGCAACCCAACAGTTGGGTCATCCAAACAACACAACATTTTTTAGAGTGCACACTGTCCTCACATTTAACAGTCAGGACTCTAGTACTGGACTTTAGGAGTTACAGTATAGAGCTAAATTATTTTAACTATTCTGTTTTTCCTCCCAGATACCACTCTTTGTTTAAAGGGAGATGGGATGCTTGTTAGGCAGAATGTTTTGAGAGCCAGCCATTGGACAAACACACGTCAACACACACCCCCCTCTGGGGCTATATTAGGGGCCCAGGGCCTCCGCCATGCCGACCTGTAGCCTAACGTAGCATTAGAAGGGGAAACCCCATAGAGAGGTGTCGCCCCGCCAATGAGCTAGTAAATTGGGGCCCCTCAGAACCGTCATAACTCCGGGAGAGATGACAGGGTACTGTACTCTACAGAGGCTCCAATGCACCTTGACTCACTGGAGGGAGAGAGAGGGGGGAGGGAGGGAGAGACATGGGTGAGTGTGTCTGGGGCCTGTCGTATGGACTAGCTACAGTACTGTACCTCAGAGCTTCTTCCATCTAAACTCATGATGAGTGAGACCTTGAAGAGTCAGGGCCCCTACTCCCTGTGGTCTCTCACACAATCCCTGTGTTCATCAGCACTGAGCATGTAACACACACACACACACACACACACACACACGCACACACACAGAGTGTAATGTCTGTCAGAAACCCTCAGCAGAAGAAAAGCACCAGCCAAGGAGAAGTAACTAAGGCGGTGGAGTTAAAAGAACAAAAGGAGCACACACTGATGGGAAGACGATGTCACTTGGGCTCTCACGCTCTCCTCCTGATGCCAACCGACAACATACTAACTGGCATGCTGTATTCTGCCCCATGTTTACTGAAGACCCTCAGCTCAACTTACCTGTTGCACTATGCTCAGATAAATACTCAGAGACTGATCTCACAAATTGAGTGTCATGCCCTTTGAAAATGGCGGGGCACAAGTATCATCGAGTTGTACACTAAAAAGTTCACCAGTTAGTGCACCCCCTTTAAAATGATTAGGTGAATGACACTTCTGCTAATAGATATTAAATCCCTCCTACGTGTTGATTTCATCTCTCTTCTTCTCTCCCCCCCCCCCCCCCCCAGCTCATGTGCTCCTCGGTGCAAGGGGCTCTGTTCGAGGAGGAGGAGAAGAGCAGGAAGCAGCAGGAGCGCCTGGGCCAGCTGGAGAGGAGGAACAGGCAGCTGAAGGAGCGTGTCCGGAAGGTGAAGCGCTCCCTCCGGAACGCCAGGAAGAGCCAACGCCGGGTGGAGCAGGAGAGGCAAGGGCTGGAGGAGAGGCTGAGGTCAGCGGAGAGACGCGCTGGGCATCACCTCAATAGCATCACACAGGAGGCTACGCCCAACAGATACCAGGAGGCTGTGTTACACCGTACGCCCCACACACCGCTTTAGCCTCTGGACTGGATGTTGTTAAAGACTGCTGGGCAGTCTCTCTAATTCCTGTTGTTCACACGCACGCACGCACCCACACATGCACACATGCAAAGGCGATACTCATTTAGTGCCATATTCAGACATATATGCTGTAGTTCCTACACACATTACATAGAGAGGGCATCCAGTAGCTCTCGAATAGCAGACAGAGGGAATTTGTATTAGTGAATGACTAGAGAGAATGAGAGAGATATTGTGTATAGCTCCTATTAATACACAGCACTGTCATACAGCTGATGGATAGACAGATGAAATGAACTTAGAGTGAGTATATGATGAGTGAATGACTGGAGTGAATGAAGAAAGTGAGATTGCTTTCTGGTAGATGTGTCCGTGGGCATTTGTGCCATGTGTTGTCTGTTGCTGCCTAGTGTCAATACCACCAAGGACAATGTCGATGAGGCACTTTTTCTTTTTTTATATGAATGTATTACTGAAGCTGCATATAAACTCTAATGAGGCATTAATAACGCTTGGGTGTTTTATTTCCAGATTACACAATCTGTTGTTTTTGGCCAAACAAACTAAACACACCAACTCAAATTCCATTCTAGGTAAAGAGAGAGAGGTAAAGAAAAGAGAGTGTGGAGGAAGAGAAAAAGAGAGAGTTGTGGGTTGCTGTTATGGGCTCTTCTTAATGGGTTTCCCTCTCTCCTCCAGGCACTGCGGGATAAAGCCAGATGTGCCACCCCCACAGAGACGCACACACGCACGCACACGTGCACACACACGCACGCACACACACACGAGTGCAACACACACACACACACTTCGTTCCCCTCCTCCTTTGCTGGAGTTTGTGTCCTAAGACTTGAACCTTATCACGAAGACCCCTACAGCCTCAATCTTCATCTGGGTCTATGAGCACAGGAAAACAAATACCTGCAACTGTATGGGACAACACACATACTCGACACGCATACACACACAGATCCTCCACTCTTCTATAGTCAGTCAGTCTATGCTAGGGACACAGAGCAGAATGGAATGTGCTTATGTGCTTTTCTGGGCAGGAGAGAGGGAGAGACAGCAGGACTTTATTTAAATATTTATTTATTTCTGTCTCCAAAATAACCCCTGAATCACTGTTGTTCTTATTGGATGCTTTATTAATCTCTGCACTGGCCCTGAGAAAATCACCAATACCTCAGACAGAGAAAATGGAGAGGGGAGAGAGTGACAGAGTGAAATTGATTAATACGTTTGACAGATATTCACCTACATACCAGCTCAGATCCATCTACAGTTAATCAGATGGACCCAACCTGCTGCCTGCCATTTTCTAGAAACCAGAGATGAGGAAAGTGACAGAGAAGAATGAGGGAAAGGATGAGGAGGTGAAGAAGCAAGACAGGAAGACGTGATGATGGAGTAGGAGAAGGAGGATGAGGAAGGAGAGAAGGATAGTTCTGGCTGCCGTTTCAGTACATCCCATCCACTGTAGGCCCCTTATGGAGACTACATAGGAGAGAGTGTGAGGGATGAGGGGGCTGGTTATCTGGCCACAGAGGAGAGAGAGGGAAACACTTTAAAAGGCAAAAAGATCAGTGAACCCCAAACCTCTCTCAGACGCACCATGACCACTCGTCCAACAATAGCAGCCCCCCACCCACACTTGCTCCCACTGAGTGGCTCAACTCGCTCTGAGAATGTCATTTTGTGCGTGTGTGTCTAAGTGTGTGTGTTGCTTTGAGTTTGTTAACGTGTATGAGAGAATGATCTCCCTGAGCTTCTCTGAGCATTCCTCTGGCCAGCCCTGAGCACAGGAGAGCAAGAAGACGGTGTAAACAAGAAGAATGGGGAGGAATGTGCACACTGCTCAGAGTCCAGATCCATTGAACGGGTTCAAAGGTCAATAACTGTGAGAGAGGACAGAGGCTTACGTGCTGGGAGTGAGTGTGAGGGGTGCTTAATGTGGCTGCAGTTTGAATTGGCCCCCAGCGCCAGAAGAACTACAGGGCAATCTCAGACCGCTTTCACCAATTAAGTCCCAACAGCACTTATCTGTAATCACTATCATACCTTAACCCAGGAGCAGCTCAACAATGGAAAAAACGATTACAATCACACTTGGCTATAAGTGGCTAGTTCTAACTATATTAGTGAATTAACATCAATTTGCTATACAATTATAAATAATGTGTACTGGGAAAACACAACCTTGATGCCTGAGGCAATTGTTTGAGGTATGTTTTGTTTGTTTTGTGAGCATGTAAATCAGCGTCTTCACATTCACTCAGACACAGGGTAATAGCTGGACCTGAAGTGGATCTGTGAGAGAAACATCTGTGAAAACGTCGGAGCAACATCTGCCCCTACATCTGCTAAACGTCCGTCAGATATGTCTGTTGAGCATCCGTGGTGTGTGTCGTCTGTTTGAAGTCAGGGGGTGTGTGCGTGTCTGTATGGAGGGGTTATGGAGGGACACGACTACTTCTCTAATCTTTCTCTGGTCTAAAGGCAAAGGTCAGGGGTCAACAAACAAGCCAATTAGAAGAGGAGATCAATCTAAATGCAAAAACAAACTTTGAATGGCTTAAAGTGTAGTAATCCCTGCACACACACACACAGAGACGGTTGCTTTATGATCGTTCAGGATTTATTTCAGGAGAGAGAAAAAAAACAATCAGTCATTCTGGCCTCTGTCATCGTAATGGTAACTGATATGTGCACATGATTGTCGAAGGCATCGAATATACAAGCCCCATAACAGAAGGTCATCACAGCACAGTAAGTGGCAGGGCAACTCACTCTGCCACACAAAATGGAAGGAGGTGTCTGCTTAACGAAGTAGGAAGAAAGTTGCCCCTTACCACTGATACAGGGTCAGATATTTTCTCATCCCCCTAATGGTCTAGGTTCAGATCGAAGGAGGGTATTCTGATCCTAGATCTATGGCTGTTAGTATCTATTGGTTAAGGTTCAGATTGAGGGAGGATATTCTGATCCTAAATCTATGTTTAAGTTAGTATCTAATGGTTAAGGTTCAGATTAAGGGAGGGTATTCTGATCCTAGATCTGTGGTTGAGGGGAACATCTACCAGGAGTCGTCAGTGAGACACCACACAAGATGGAGGTTTGTCTTGGTCACATGCAGAGTAAATATGGCCCATTCCCCGTGCTCTAGACCTCACAGGAACCCACAGGGAGATGCAGTGGTCCCCAACAATACTCTGCTCTTTATGGACACATGGGTCTTCTTCTTTAGATATAGATACACACATCATACAATGGCATATAAGGTTAATGCAAACACTTGTGGAGTTGGATTTCTTTAAGCACTTTTCAACATGCTTTGCATTTCATCTTTAGAAAACGTTGTGATGCATTGTGGGATTTGTTTTCTCATGACAGTTGATCATGGGCATGTGTTTAGGTGTGTTGTGATGCCGGCTGCGGTAGTGTCAGTGAGCAATCGGGTAAAGTGGACGACCGATGACTTAGGCAGATGTACAGTACATGTGTAAAAACAGCACAGCTCCATAACAGTGGATGTCGTATTAGTCAAAGCTTCAACGTTTACACACATTGCAAACTAAAGCCTGAGTTGGTTTACTTTTAAATTTAAAATGTTTTTTATTTTATTTTGTCAGATATTGTTTAGAATACTGATGGCGTTATCTCCATGGTAACTCTGTAGATGGCAGTTACTGAGGGTGGGTTGCACCAACATAGATTAACTCTTAAACTGGGTTAAATCAAGGTTTATCTATTAATCTTGTTGCACCAAATTTTAAACCTAGTTTTAAATTAATCCTAGTTAAATTAAATCCTTCCTCTAATCTAAGTTTAGTTTTCACTTTAAACCTAGATTAATTTTAAGCCTGAATATAAATTTAGATTGGAGATTAATTCTAAACTGCCACTTGAGGTGGTTTAACTGATAAAATGGCAGCATATCTACTGTGGAAGACCAAAACGACAGAGTTCCTCAGAGAATAATTATGGTGTAACATGTCACTAATCATAGTTTAAAACCGTTAATCATAGATTTACTGATCCAGATTTAAAAGTAAGTGGTGCAACACATCTCTGATGAATTATAAACCTAGATTTACAAAACCTAGATTAGCTCTAATCCTAGATTCATTTAAACCATGTTGGTGCAACCCACTGAGTGTTCAGCACAGTATGCTCTGAATATCGTGGTATCAAAGCCCAGTATGGTGTGGGATGGAGGGGTGTGGGGGGCTGTAGCTCATTTAGACACAGATTAAACATTCCAAAGAGAACACAATCAACCCCCCCACCCACACACCACACACACGCCCACACTGCACAACATTCGCAAAGGTTATCTTAAAAATGATCATTCACAATTTATTTACAAGACCTTTCCAACAAATATATTCATTCATTTCAGAAAACAATAAATGCTTGCCTTGCTATAAAAAGAAAGAAACAAAATGGAGCCCTAAAGTAAAGTCTACCCGCCCCCTAAAATAATCCAGTCGATGACATCACACTTCATGATGGTTGACCCAGCACCACGAAGCCAGGTAATAACACTGCACTATGACCTCTATATGTAGGCTATATGTAGGCTGTATGCAGGCTGTGTCTGGCCATAGTCTGGTTGGGGGACCCTGGTGTCGTGAGCGTAACAGTCCCAGTGTTGGGTGAAACTTCTACAGTATACAGTGAACTGGTCTTAAAGAAACTAGAAAGAAAAGAGAGGAGGGAGGGGAGGGACAGAGAGGAAAGGAGAAGGCAAGGGGGAGAGACATAGAAAACATTCTGTCATCTTTCTGAAGATCAGCCCTTAGTTTCAAAACAATCCATTTCTCAGTGGGGATCGGCCAGGGTTATAGGTCTAGCTCATAGCTGACCATCAGTGTTTAATTAGGTATAATCAGTGTCCACATATTCTCTGTTTCAACACTGCTTTGGCTACACATTACAATGACATAAAGGGATAGTTGGACTTGCATCTGACATAGGCAGACCACTGGACACCGTGTAGACAAATCTATGCTCGCAAGCAGTTTCTACAGCAACAAGGGTCACCACGGCGCCCAGTCCAATTCCCTGAGAACTTGTGTACTGGGCGCCGGTTGATGATGTCATCATGATGATGGCTCTTGTGGTGAGGTCATGGCTTTGTAAAAGGGAGGGGGGTAGAGACAACAGCTCCACCATCTTGGATCCTGGGAAACTGATACTGTACGTTAGGGGTTCCCAAACTTACACTACACAACAGAGATGGCTGCTCTTTTATGTGGGCTTTTTCTGAGGCCCATTTGGAACTGCCTGGTTTCCCACCTGTAGCCCCTGATCTTTAGGATGGGAAATCCCATAGATGTTTAAAACTTTAACAGGGGACATCCCTGTCCAGCACTCTCCAACTCTATCCTAAACCTGCAGTGTGTTTCATAATATCTATATATGCGTCCCCTATAGGGTGGTATTTATAAAAGTCTTATAAAGTAAGAAAATAATGAAACATAGTGCATGTTTCCCTTAACAAAGAAGTTGTACAGTGCTCTGACCCCATTTTGGGTATTTTAAAACTGTTTACAATCTCTATTCTCTGTTTGATAAATTCACATGGATGAGGAGTCTAACTCGGTAGCTGTACACACATTATCAACGTCTAAAACCGTGTCCAAACCTCATGTGCAAATAGATAAAGCATTACTTATGAAACATCACTCAGTCTTATGGTACTTTTAAAGCACATCTTAAACATGCGCGCAAACAAAGAAAAATCAACATGAACATGGAAAAAAAGCGCAAGAAAATACAAATGAAAAATAATCCAGTTGGTAACTGTTAACCCAGAGATGGGAGGATAAAATACAGAAAATAAACAGAATTCAAACTCATAAGTAGGACCTTATAGAAGATGTAGGAAAGACTAGATTACAGGGAAATTGGGTTTGACTGACATAGACAACGCCGAATTCGACGGCAGCTTCTGAAAACACACCCACTTCACTCACCATGGTCTCTGACAGAAACAAACACTCAAAGGTAAACCAATCAATAATTATCTCGGAGTGGGTGTGGTTCCACAGAGTCGACACAATAGGCTTGTCCAAGGTGAGTATGGCGTGTTGTGATTGGTGGGATGGGTTTAGAGTCCTCTGCTCTCCCAGTCCTCCCAGATGCGGCATGGGGGAGGGGCAGGGCGGGGGGCAGGCTGGGTGGGGGTAGTAGGGGCACGGTAAGGAAGGGGGGGTGCGGTTTTCGCCCCTCTCTCTCTCTCTCACAGCGCCGTGGCCTCCCAGCTGGTCCCCCGCGGGACCTGGCGTCACTTAGTCTCTGTTAGTACCGTGGCAACAGTGGAGGGGTGGGGCCGGGCGAGCTCCGCCCCCATGGAGGGGGCAGAGGAGGTTGCAGACACCAGGCTGCAGGGGGTGGGAGGGGGCACCTGGGGGGAGAACAGAGACTATGAACACAGTCAGAACTAGCAAACTTTACTAGTCCATGGTTTATGTGTGTGTGGATGCATACATGTCCACTTACAGTCCTTGTGAGGTGAGTCCACAGAAAAGCTCTTCATAATGGCTGCATTAGGGTTCTGGCTCTGGCTCCGAGTCTGGCTTGGACTCGGAGAGGGTTGAGTAGAGCTCTGGCTAGGGATCTGGTTGGGAGTCTGGTTGGCCTGGTTCTGGTTGGCCTGGTTCCGTTGATTCTGCATCTGTGCTGCCCGGCTGTTAGGAGGGTGAGGGTGAGAGCTGTCCATGCTGTGGCCCATACTACTGCTCAACTGCAGTCTCCTCATGTGTCGCACCACTGCGGTGGCATTGAAGGCTTGCTGGAGAGGGAGAAGGGGGGGGGGGGGGGAGAGAGAGCGAGAGAGAGAGAGAGAGAGAGAGAGAGAGAGAGAGAGAGAGAGAAAGAGAGAGAGAGAGGGACCAGTGTATGATTTATAAACACTACATTAAATAAGCAATCACTCAGAAACACTCAGACATTTATTAACATACACTACCAGTCAAAAGTTTGGACACACCTGCTCATTCAAGGGTTTTTCTTTATTTTTTACTATTTTCTACATTGTAGAATAATGGTGAAGACATCAAAACTATGAAATAACACATATGGAATCATGTAGTAACCAAAAAAGTGTTAAACAAATCCAAATATATTTTATATTTGAGATTCTTCAAATAGCCACCCTTTGCCTTGATGACAGCTTTGCACACTCTTGGCATTCTCTCAACCAGCTTCATGAGGTAGTCACCTGGAATGCATTTTAATTAACAGGTGTACCTTCTTAAAAGTTATTTTCTGGAATTTCTTTCCTTCTTAATGCGTTTGAGCCAATCAGTTGTGTTGTGACAAGGTAGGGGGGGTATACAGAAGATAGCCCTATTTGGTAAAAGACCAAGTCCATATTATGGCAAGAACAGCTCAAACAAGCAAAGAGAAACGACAGTCCATCAT